GAGGAGGGCGGAGGGGGTGGGGTGGAGAGGGAAGACGGTGGAGGAGGGGGAGGAGAGGAAGGGGGGGGAGGGGGGAAGAGGGGGGTAAAGAGGATGAGGCGTAGGATGAGAGAGGGGGGAGGAGGAGGGAATGTACGGCGGTACGGCAGAGGGGGAGGAGAAGGAAGCAAGATGCGGGGAATACACATATATACATATGTATACACGCACAATGCCCACTGCTGGGACCTGCCCTCTCTGTCCGCAGGGTTTTCCGGCGTGTTGACCGTGCCGTCTGTGTTTGTCTTGATGGGCAATTTCCACTCGCGGGCCGGAGGCGGCGGCTGCAACGGACGTCATGGGCTGGGCGGTGGCGGTGGCGGCAGTGACGCGATGTCGGGTGGCAGTGACGTGGACTACGGCACCATGCGGGAGTTGTTCGGGCAGCTGGCGAGCCTCATTGACCAGTACCCTCGGCTCAAGGTATAAGGCCTGGGTGGGGTTCGTAACGCTGGGGGTAGGGGCGGGGTAGGGGTAGGGTCAAGGGGATGAGGGGGGCGGGACGGGGCGTCCACGTGGTGTGTATTCCACGTAGGTGCGTGTCGAGGACAGGGACGTGTTGGACAGGTGATGATGAACGGTGAAATGGGAAAGGGGGGGGGAGAAAGGGCAGATGGTCGGTCGTTTTCAGCTGCTGTGTCAGTCAGTCTCGTTTATTCTAGTGTGTTTGTTTGACGCATGTCACTTCTCTCCCCCGCTCTCCCCACCACCACCACCACCTTTCGTTCGGCGCCGGGGCCCCCTCCAAGCCCACCCACCCCACCCCGGTTGAAGCCTGGGCGCTGTCTGCTACGGCACCTTCGAAAAAAGGAGGCCTTGTCGCGCATAGATAGTCCCTTGGGTAGTCCATGTATTTTGTGTTTATTTTCTTGTGTAGTCCCCCGGCCTGGTGACTAACACCGTAGGATCTGTGAATGCCGCCCAACAGATCAACTTCATTCGTATCACATAAAAACCCATCATCACCATCACCATCATCATCACCATCATCATCACCATCATCACCATCATCACCATCATCACCATCATCATCACCACCATCATCACCACCATCATCACCACCACCATCATCACCACCATCATCACCACCATCATCACCATCACCACCATCACCATCATCACCACCATCATCATCATCACCACCATCATCACCACCATCATCACCACCATCATCACCACCATCATCACCACCACCATCATCACCACCATCATCACCACCATCATCACCATCACCACCATCACCATCATCACCACCATCATCATCATCACCACCATCATCACCACCATCATCACCACCATCATCACCACCATCATCACCATCACCACCATCACCACCATCACCATCATCACCACCATCATCATCATCGTCTCATTGCCAAATTACTTACTCCACGTGTGATTGAGAGAAGACATCACACACTCACGCCCACACGCCCACAAAAACACAATCCTTACCCGCCCATTCCCCCCTCCCCTTCCCACACGTACACATACATACGTACATACACGCCACCTCGGTGCAAGGCGGAGAGCCGTTTTGTGTTCGTGCCGGGTCCTGATGACCCCGGACCAGGTGCCGTACTGCCTCAGCCGCCGCTGCCTCGCTGCCTCACGGGTGAGCTCCGTCGCGTGCTGCCCAACGCCGTGTTCGCATCCAACCCTGTACGACTGCGGTACGGCACGCAGCGGATTGTGCTGTTCCGTCACGACTTGCAGCGGCGGTTGAGGAGGAGGTCGCTGCTGCAGTTGACAGGTGCGGGTATGTATGTATGTATGGGGGGAGAGAGTGGTTTCGGAGCAACCCCCCCTCACCAACAGTCTCCCCCGGTTTCCCCTTCCTGAAACCAATCCAATGCATCTCCCCACCACCGCCAGCGTTGTTGCAAACCCCGTCGGAGAAGAACTGTTGCAAAAGTTCAACTTCAGAGATGGAATCGCACTCAAACTGAACCCACCCATGCCGTTGGATGCCTAGACGCAAGCAACTCCTTAAGGGGCCTGCGGAAGGGGTGAAACATTCAACAGCCTGACCTGGAAACATGCTCTTGGCTCAGTCAGGCACCCTCACATTCCAAAGAAGGCGGGCATGTCGGGGAAGTTTTTGCGGCAGATAGGAAAGTCGTTGTCGGTAACAGAGGACTTAGGGTTTAGAGTTTTAGGGTTTTACACACACCCTGCCGGCATTACGTTTCTTCGCGGGAGCGACAGCACTCCTTCGCACACATCTCTCTCGCACTCACATGCGGTGGTGGTGGTAGCGGCAAACGCTTTCTTAGCCCGCGAAAATTGGATCTACACACACAAAGTAAAAATTCTTTTCACGGGACGTTACTTTTACGTACGACAGTAGTACGACACGTCTTTGACGACAACAATACCCCTGTTCGACACAACGGCCGGGAGGCATCAATGCGCTGAGGACGGCTCCTTACCGTACCCGGTGACGTACAGGGCCAAAATGTCAAAACAGTGATGAAGGTTACACAGAAGGGCAGTTACGTCGTGGCGACTATTGAGCTTCCCTCAGTAGTCCTTTGCAACTTTCGACGTCAAGGCAGCGGTTCCCGCGAGGGGTTTATAATTATAATCCTCCCACCACCACCATCCCCAGGCGTCCCCTACCCAATATTCCCGATGCAGCATTTGTCTTCTCCTGGACTATATCCGTCTATATTCTCTGGTATCTGCTTCACTCGCCAGTGGTTCGTCGTACCCCCAGGTGCCCCTGACGGCGCCGCCGCGGCGGCGGCGGCGGTGGATCCCGCCTCCCAGACTGGTGCCGCCGCCTCCCAAGCCGCCGCTGGTCTCTCCCCCTCCGCGCTGTGGGGCCACTTGGCGCTGACTTTGTTGCAGCAGGGGCACCTAGTACCGCTGCCGCTGCTGGCGCAGCCAGTGTACTGGCAGTACGACAGTGCGTTGTCGTTGTACCCGCTGCCGGACGCCGTTGTCCTGGCGGACGCGACGGCGGGGCAGGAGGAGTTCGTACACGAGGGCTGCCGTGTTCTAAACCCGGTAAGGTTTGATTAAAGGCGTGTCCGGGAAGCCTAGTATAATGGTGTGTGCGTATGTATGTATGTATGAGAGGGAAAGGGACTCCCTTGTCAGCCAGTCCCCAACCTTCACCTCCGTTCCTTACTTCCTACATATTTCCGCCCTTCCGCCTCCCTCTCCTCTTTGTCTCCCTTTCTCCCCCTCATCCTGCAATCAATCCCCTCCACCTCTTTTCTCCTCCTACACCTCCCCCCCTCCTTTCAGGGCTGCATCCCAGGCGGCTCCTTCGCCGCCTACTTGCCCTGTGTTCAACAGGTGGAGATGAGCGAGCTGCCGCGACCCGGCCAAGGAGGTGCCGGAGACGACGAAGACCACCACGGCCGTGTGGGCTTCCAGGAGGGAGAGGGAGGGGGAGGGGCAGGTGCCGCCGGTGCCGCCGGTGTGGACGGGGAGGGGGACGACATGGACGGTGCGCCGCGGCGCCGCAAGGCTGCGAGATCCCCCCTGCGGCAGCAGCAACAGCAGCAGCGGGCAGGGGCCAAGGTGCAGAAGCCGCGGGCGGCAAGGCAGGGCCAGGGCAGCGGCCGTGGCGGAGCTCGCGCGCGGGCAGCGGCAGCGGTGGCGCCGAAGGGGCCGCGGAGTGGTGGCGGCACAGGGGCCGCCGGGGCGGATGCTGGCGGTGACGTTGCCGATGCTGGCGGTGGCGGCGTTGAGGCGGGGGGCGATGTTCAGGATGAAGAGATGCGGGACGTAGGGGGGCCGTGCGGGCGAGGAGGAAGAGGAGGTAGTACGGGTCGGGGTGCAGGCCGGGGCTGCGGGCGAGGACGAGGACGCGGCAGTAGTGCTGCTACCGCCGCCGCCGCAGCAGCAGCAGCAACTGGAGCTGCCAGAGCGCAGGGCACGCTGGCGAGCGTGTGGGCTAAGCAGCCACAGCAGCTGCGGCTGCGTGCAGAAGCTGCGGAGGCGGAGGAGGAGGGGTTGGAGGATGAGGATCTGGAGGCGGGGGAAGATGGAGCGTGCGGTGCGTGCGGGGATGTGGAGGTGGGGGAGGCTGCTGTGCTTCGACGGCAGCCGCGGGAGCGGAAGAGGCGGGCGATGGTGGTTGATGAGGAAGAAGAGGAGGCGGGTGGGGAGGTGGAGGTGGGAATGGAGGTGGAAAGGGAGGACGGGGTCGCCGGTGGCGGGAAGACGTGGATGGATGGCGACGAGGAGGACTGGCAGGAAGCAGGGGAGGAGGAGGAGGAGGAGGGGGGAGAATGACGTAGAGACGATATCGGGGTGAGTGTGCTGGCTGCTCAGGTTTCGGGGTGGTGTTGCTAGTGCGCGGTCCCGGTGTGTGAGAGAGTGTGGTGGGGTGGGAGTGGGGTGGGAGCGGGGTGGGGGAGGAGGGGGAGGAGGAGGAGGAGGGGGAGCAGAGGCCCGGACGGCTGATCAGATGCAGTGTTTGCAGGGCATGGTTGCGGTGGTTGGTTGGTTGGTTGGTTATTCAGTTGTTTGGTGGCAACTGTGAGACCTCTCGGGAATTTTTTTATTAGACCTGCGCCAAATGCTGCAGATCTCTACGTCTGGATTTTTAAATCTGGATCTTGGAGTTTACCTGGACTTAGTGGAGCTCCTGTGTGGGACGGCTGCATCATTAAGTACGGCAACGCGTACGACAAAACTTTGTTGCTCGTCCTAGACTGTTAACGCTTCCATGGCGCAGACCCTGGTGGGGCTCCTGCGATTGCGTACGTCCTCTGTGTACCGCTACCGAGCGAGGAAACCAGGTGTCACCGCCGTCACAATCGCCCCATACTTGCTCTGGGCTAAGCCAGGAAGGATAGATGTTCCATCTTAAAGGGGTGGACGGGGTGGAGTGCCGGAATGGTGGAGTAGCTGGGCGCCCGAAAGGCCCTCGCGAAATGCTGGAAACGCTATAGCGTGGTAGCGATATCGCGATGGTGTCTGCCATCCTGTACGACAGCTACTACAGCCGCATGGCATCTGCATAAATTGAGATGTACATGTACGGCATGTACGATGTGCACAACATGTAGCTTCTTGTACGGTTGAACACACACACGTTAATACCGGTGTCAATGTCAATGTCAATGTTGAAAGCAACTATCTACACGCGGAAGGCCAGCTGTTGCAGGTCCAGCCTTACAAAGCCCAAATTCACAATCGCTGCCAACGTTTTCAATGATATCTTTCTCCGTTAGAAGGCGGTGCCCAGGTTCTTGCCGAACATCTTGTCAAGCTGTCGCCAGGCGACACGGTGCAGCGCGAGGTACATGCACAGACCGCCGCCGTCATCACCGCCACTGCCACCACCGCCGTCGCTTTCGCTGCTGCTGCTGCCCCTGCCTCTAGCAGGGTCGGTGGTGGCTGCGGTGGCAGCGGTGGGAGCCGGCGGGGGTGTGGGCCACACGACCGCCACATTGGCGCCGGGTGAGGCTACAGGCGTGAAGGAGAGAGGCAGTTCCGGTCCGAACTGCAGCATACAGTACCAACCGGTGCATATGGGGGTTGCATTACAGCTTAGGGCTGAAGATGTGAAGATGTAGCTATGTAGCTGCTAAGGCATACGGAAACGTAAGAAGGCAGTAGCAGGGACACGGCCGGGGGGGGTATAGCTAACCCCGTGGCGATACGGTCGAAGGTGCAAAGCTTGTTGCTCGACCAAATACACAAGCCCGCAACCACACACGTGTCTGTATGCGCATGCGCGTGCCACATACACCATGTGGCACATCCACTTACATGACCACTCCTGCACCCACGGACGCGCACACCCACCCATCCATGCACACACGGACGCGCACACACCCCCACACCCCCACATACATATGTATACACACATATATATGTATACATACTTGCACGCAACCATCCGCCAACAACCCACCTACCCACGCATACATGTACCCGCACCAGGCGCCCACCTGCCACATGCCGTATTGCAGAGGCCAATCACTGAGCAGGAAGGGGCCCTGCGGCGCCAACAAGCACTTGGAGGGCCGGGGGTCCACCAACAGGTCGCTCACAAGCCGCCGTGCATCACGTGCCGCCAGGACCTTGACGCGGTGCCAGTCCCTGCCGTACTGTAACGGCAGGTCCCTGCAAACGGGTGTGTATGTTTGTATGTATGTATGTATGTACACCAGGGTTCGACACCCCGTACGGGGCCCGTAAGTTTTTGGCCTTTCTTCGGTATCCCCGTCAGGGCCCGTAGGACTTTTCGGTGGCTCCCGTAAGGATTTTGGGGCGCGAAGCGCCCCGTACGGGGCCGCCCCCGGACCGGCCGAAGGCCGGTTACGGTGGCTCCCGTAAGGATTTTAAGGATTTATAAGAGGCCGTACGGGGCCCTGTAAGGGAGAGGACGGACCATATTAAGGCTTTCGCTGAGTGTGCCGTGTCCCCGAGTGTAATGGTTCACGAGAAAATAACGATTTACAGGGCAAAAAAAAGCAAAACGTCACTTTCCACAGCGTTTCAGCCAAGGACAGTGCCCCCCTAAAGGTTTTGCGGGGGTTACGGGGGCCCCCGTAAGGTTTTCGGCCGGTACAGGAGCCTGGTACGGGGGCCCCTCCGTAAGGAAAATTTGGGGGTACGGGGGAGCCCGCAAGTTTCAGGAAGGTCAGTGTCGAACCCTGATGTACACCCAGCAAAACTGCAAGCCGAAGAATGGAAAAATGGCCTAACGGATGGCTACCCACACACCCCTGGAGCGGTCGCTGACGTCTACGCCCTGAATCTCTTATCTGTGTCCGGTACTGCTTACCTAATTCCGAACTCGTCTGGCCCCATCTCCTCCCCGGGCAGCCGCTCCAACAGACTCCAGCCGCATCGCACTGGTTCCAGCTCCCATGCACTGCTCGTACATTGACACTAACCCTACTGAATCCCCCTTCCCCCTCCCCTCCCCTTTCCCTTCCCCGCCCCACTTCCCAGATCCCTACGCCACCAGGCCACACCGACCCACCTAACCCGAAACAGACATACATACATGCATACCTGTGTATAGCATGTCGCACCCGGGCCGCAAGCTCCCCAAGGACCATCTGTGAAGCACGCACACCGTCCACACGTGCCGTCCACGCGGCATTGCCCAACAGGCCCGCGGGCAGCGGGGGTTGAACCCGGGGTCGCATGTTGACCGCTACCAGGAAAAACATGGGGCGGCGGCGCCGCAGGGGAATCGCGTGTAGCAGCTGCAGCGGTGCACCAAGAAGCAAAGCGTTCAAATCGCATGTTACTGTCAGCCCCTAGCCTCTCCAGGACTTGGAATAATTACGAGGCGGCATCCCTATTCCTAATTAACCTAAAATCCATATCATTTCCGAGGTGAATATTGTACAATCGTACATATAAGTCTCTCCCGTAGTTCTTTGCGGTTACAGCCGTACTCGGCAGTACATGATTACGGCCATGGCTGTATTATATACCTCGTACACGTCTGCCCGTTCACGGCCAGTGACCTGTACTGTAATCCTTCCCCGAAAGATTAGTGTAATCCTCTTACTCGAGATTACTACCGTCGTACGGCACCTCATCCGCACACCTCCAAAGGATTGCAAGCGACTCTCAAGACCCCAAGGGAGAATCCCGCCGGTGTCCAAAAACACCTTGATTATAGGTCCAATCGCTATTCCTGTCTCGGTCGTCTGGTGGTCTCCTCCATAATAACTATTACAAAAATCCCACCAGGCGCAGATTACGTGGTTACCGGTGCTTAAAAAAAGCACCAGTATTCCTAATTTACGAAGGTCTTCAGTACCACAACATCCATATCCAAATCCATACCGTGACAATCCAGCGAGAGTTTAGAAGCCTCGCCCACTGCAGCTGTTGGAGCCCAGCACTCCCCAGCACCAACCCCTCTCCCCGGCACCCACCACTGTGCCTTTACCTGAGCCAAACGGGCTGCCAGGCAGTCCCGCGTGGAGACCCACTCCACCACTGGCGGCTGCGGCTGCGGCGGTGGTGCTGCCGCTTTGACCGTAGGATTCTCTACGGGGCGGGAGCCCTGGCCACTGCCGCTGGCGCCGCCGCCATTCCCGCCGGGGCAGCAGCTGCGGAACACCGCCGTCAGTGGCCGCCACCGTGGCGCCGCTTCCTCATCCCGCCTCTCCGCTACCGTCGCCGCCACCTTCTCCTCCCCGGCATCCAAAGCCACCTCCGTCGCCTCCGACGCGTCCGCCCCTGCCGCTGCCGGCGCCGCCGCCGGCGCCGCCTCTGTCCTCCCGCCCGTCGCCTCCTTGAGCTGCTGTGCGGCGATGCGTTTGAGTTCCACCAGCCGTTGCGTAGAAATCGTGAATGTCCGTATCTGCCACAAGATCAACAAGACATACACTGAATCTCTCTTCCCGGTGCGCAATTTCTTATGTGCTCCACCAACCAAAGCCGCACACCACCACGCCACTGATTTGCGGGCTCCTTTCGAATTTCAACAACACCAGCAAATATTGAAAACATGTCCTCACCACCTCCGACGCCGGAGGCCTCAACTAATCGACGCCTCCTGTTCCTCCTGACACTCACTGGCCCCCTACCTCCCTGCCTCACGCTTCCATACTGCCTCTGTTTCATAGTCCCACTTCACTGGCCCCCTCCCACAGACACCTGCCGAGCTACTGCACATCGACGACTCACCTCGACGCCGCCGCCCTTGATCCGCAACTTGTACGGCAGGGCCCAGAACAGGGAACGCCACAACAGCCGGGGAAACACCACGAACGACTCGCGGGGTGGGGTACCCGGCGGCGGTGGGGACGGGTCTGCAAATGACTCAACCAAGGCGGGCGCGTACGCGGCGCTAAGGCGCTCCGCCACCGATGGCAGAGCCGCCACCGTGCCGCCTTCTTCAGGGCCAGGACGATCACTGTTGGTGGTTGCCGCGCGGTAAGGACCACCGCCGCCACTCTGGCCGCCACCGAGCAGGGAGTTGTATGCGCCTGAGAGGTGCGCCATGAAGGTTTGTAGGGCCTCGAAATCCGCCAGCGGGTGAAAGGTGGTCAGCGCCAGCAGGCTCCCGCCACCATTGCTACCGCCACCACCACCGCCGCTGCCGTCGCGGCCACCAAGGTCGGCGCCGCCACCGCCGGCGGAGCCTGAGCCGCCGCCGGTGCCCGAGCTGGAAAGTTGCAGCAGGTATACGTGAAGCAGTGGCAGCTGTACGAGGGCCGCACGTGCAGGGGCATGTACGGCAGACAGATGGTAGTCCGTACATATCTGTGTGTGAGAAGGAATCATCCGCTTCTCCTCCTCACACAAATAAGAGCAACCATTCTTCCTTGCCACACGGGAGGCGGAGAACAACAGGTCTCAACAGCAGCATTAGCGACAACAACAACAACAACAACAACAACAACAACAGGGGAAGTGGGGGCAGGTAGCCTGTTTAGGGTTCCCGGAGATGGTGTGCCGTCTCTATAGTTCGGTTCGCAGTCTTCTGCGCCGCTGTGTTGCCTCCCAGCCAGGGGCTGGGAGAGCGCCCCGGCTGGGGTGAGTGAGGGAGTGGGGTGCACGCGGAGGAACAGACGGACGTAGTGCCACGCGCCCGCCCCTGCGCTGTGTTTCGCCCCCCGGTCAGGGGCCCCGGTGCTCGTCCTTTCTCGGGACGAGCCGCCCACAGTGTAACACCCCATCAACAACAACAATAACTGCACTAGCAGCAGCAGTAGCAGCAACAATAGCAGCAGCAGCAGTAGTAGCAACAGTAGCAGCAGCAGCAGCAGCAGTAGTAGCAACAGTAGCAGCAGCAGCAGCAGCAGTAGCAGCAGCAACAGCAACATGGCGATCGGTCATGTCCTTCAAAGGAGAACCGACCGCGATGGTTCGGCGAGCCAGGCCGTCACCCCTCTCGTCGCCTCATCCATATGGCATTAATACTCCTCACCTTTTGCTTCGCAATGACCCACGGGTCATGTGGCAGGGCATGTTTGGATAGCGGGTTGACTGCGTTAGCATCCGAAACCACGTCAGGACGGGGCACAAGTACGGCAGCCAGTTGCTCCAGTGTGGTTTCGGATCTGCCCACCGACAGCCGGGCTCCGGCATTGTTGCAGGCAACGTCAAAGGCGGGGCGGTCCTGGACGATAACTCGGGCGCAGAGTGCGGTGGGGTGAGTATGTATGGGTTTTGGTGCCGCAAACGGCAATACCACGACGCCATGACAAGAGTATGGCAGAGAACATGGCACCCCTTTGGTTGTCCCTTTTTGGGATCCCAAAGGATTATTACCATTCAGGGACAAGGGCGTTTTGGGGTTTCCCTTCTTGACAACAAAGGGGAGCCCATTTTGTTCTCCTAACGGGGACGGCAAACCCCCAAAGGCTCGTCAAGTTTGGATGGAATTGGTTTCTTACGTTTTATGTTACCTGTTGTGTCAGAATTCTGCGTTAGCGTTTTTCCACTAGTTTCTACCTTCCGCTTAAATAGCTTTTTGTTTAGCACATGAAGTACCTTATGCCAGATTGATTTATATAAAATTGTTGGTCATACAGAGATAGCTTGTTCCAACGAGTCGGTTACGCTAACTCTTATCATATTAATTATATGCACTAAACTACACGGAACCCGTTGGCCTAGAGTCGGTTGGACAAACTACGTTGTAATTTAATATAATTATATCTCCTAATATAATTACAAAATTTAATTATCATTTTTAACCTACTAAAAATTAATATTTACTAAAACTATGCTTATTATACTTGAACCTTCATTGTCATTTATTTGAGTCTAGTTTTGCTAAATACTAACTATTCTTAGGTACTAATATAATTTGTATAATATTATATAAGACGTTTACATTTGTACAATATTTTACAAGGCGCTTATATAATAAAGCTCAATTTGTTTTGTTTCTCGGTATTAATTCTCATTTAATTAATTACCCTACTCCCATGCATCTTAAACACTCGTGGAAATGGGGCTCTTTAGCAGGTTTGATGTTAGCAAGTCAGCTTGTAACTGGTATTCTTTTAGCTATGCATTATGTTGGCCACGTTGATTATGCTTTCGCAAGTGTACAGCACATTATGACTGGCGTACCACTTCACGTTATGTATACGCAAATGATGCTAAGCTTATTCGTATGATAATTTCTGTACATAATTTGCATGGTTTTTACTATGGAAGTGGCACACAGCCGCGAGAATTAGTTATATTAGTTTTACGACTGCATTTACCCAGCAAGCGCAATAGACTACAGTTGGAGGTTATCGGCCATGAAAGGTTTTACAGACGAGCTGTTAGAATACAACAGTCAGAGCATTAAAATGTCCAGCTCTGTGCCATTCCTTTACGAAGTTGTGCCTCAGTCCAGGATGGGGCGCGACACATCCGGCAAGATGGGGCCTGGTTTTGTGTGGTTTTGTATGGTAAGCTGCACCAGTTAGAAGGGGTGACGCCACAGCCGCCGCGGTACTCGCTCAAGAACGGCAATGTCGTACACACGGCTCTTGTTGTACGACATCAACATAAAAAACTGGGCGCGAACGCTTAACAAGGAAGACGGTGCGGGTCGGTCGTTAGCTCCGTGTGTATCACTCACCCGGCGTGTTATGAGCCTGCCTGCGAACCATGGGAGCACCTCCAGGGTCCCTTGGAGAGCCTGTTTGAGCAGGGCCGCGTTGATAGATTGCCTGAACAGGAGCTCTCCTCCGAAGGCACCGATGTTGCTGGTAGTGTGGTCGACGAAGGAGAGGCACGGCACTTCAGGCGCTATGGGCTTTGATGTGGCTCGCCCGGGTGCTTGTACGAGCTCATCTAATAGGATTTCAGGCTCTGGAAGCCTAAAACAAGTTGATCGTTTCTTCATGGCTCGCTGCAAAAGTGTCAGTTGGGTTTGTGGCTATGTCGGGTGTAATCTAGGAGTCAGTCTTTCCGGGTCCTGAGCTTTTGTCGTCCTATGCATCCGTCCAGGTTGTATGTTGTATCTAGATTCCGTCCAAGTTGTAGGTATTACGTTGTAGCTGTAGGGCGCGTAAAACATTTCCTCCCTTGGGATTTTCGTGGACGCAATTGGGTCCATAGTTGGGGATGACAAGGACGGTCAAGGTCAACTGTCGCGCCATCAGGACCATGGAAGTGCACTAACATTCTTTCAAAATTGGTGGTAATTTTAAGACACCTATATAGTTTCTTTATCTCAAATAATTTGGCTTTCCAGGCCGCGCTTAGTTACAACACAACTAACCGCTACGAGACCAGCTCGAGACTGAAAACGAATAAGGTCCAAAGCCATGAATTTATTAAACAACGGAAACCGTCGCAAACTTTACACCAAACCTCACAGAACTAATGATCGCATCAGGCAAGCTGACGGCCCATGTATTGCTAGGTCGTACAGCACAGATGTAAATTTTTCTAGGCCCCATTGCGCCGAAACAGACATTCTTTCCGCACCGTTCACACTCCTAGCGTGGAAGACAGATGGCGACAGTCAGTGACAGGAGCGCGAACGGGCCATCCCAGGGTCCTCTTGCCTGGCTCGCGACCGCGGCAGCTGGAGTCCTTGTGCTGTCGTTTATATATAACTTCATAGTCGGAAAGAAACGTCTACCTGGCCCTTGGCTGACATTTCCTATCCTTGGTGACGCTGTGGAGCTCTTCACAACCGACCCAGCACGCCTGCTGTTTAGCAGGCAAGTGAAGGTGGCCTTCTAATAGTTAAACGCTGGCTTTGTGCGGTTGCTTCCCCATGATCCTCTTTTTAAGCCTGTCTTGCCTGCGATTTGCAGGTTCAAACGCTATGGCAGGTGGGTGGTACTAGAGAGCGAAACGAACTGCGCTTGGCCAAGTATTTCTACAGGCGTAATTCACTAGCTCGTATAAGCCCAAGGCTGCCAACACCGAAACTTTGTAAAGCTTCCGACAAGAGAAGATTAACTACCACAATGCAAACAGCTTCTCAGTTGGCATATTGCTGCTTTCCAACCTCCACCTACCTTCATGCTCTTTAAACGCACAGAAGCTCCTCCTCCATGCACGGCAGCCCCCGTTTCCGACCCGACGGGGCGGTGAATCCCTGTCCTCCTAGATACAATTCTTCTGTCCAACTCCTCCTTTAGCTGTTTTCCTCGTCCATCTCCGCCTCGCACGCTTCCCCTCTTCCGTCGTCACACGACGCGTCCTCCCGAGCCCCGACCGCAGGGTTTTCCCGTCCGTTTTCCCCTCATCCACTCCCTTATCCTCCTCCTTCGAGACCTGCAGAGTCTTCCGCATGAAGCTGCTTGGCATGGAGACCTACGTGGTGGCGGATCCCGAGGCTCTTCGGCCGCTGCTGAGCGACGACGGGGCGCACTTCGCAATTCCCATTGCGTCTTTCAATTGGCTAATGGAGTCCCTCAGTGTGCAGAACAGCAAGCAGACACATGGCCCTTGGGTGAGCGCGTTTTGATGTAGTGGGCCCTGTGACGTATGGACCTGGAGCTGAGGGGGCATGAGAGTTGAGTGTTGAGTCGTTGCTGAGCTGCTTGACTGCTGGGGTAGAAGTAATCGACACCTGTGTGCAGTTTCGTGCACGATGTCTCCTCCTCTGCTTTCTAATTACCGGAACTCGCCTATTTCTTTCCTCTCCCCCATTCTCTGCGTCAACACGTCATGAAACCCCTGTTTACCCCCCGCTCTCCCCGGTGGAATTCCCTGGAGGGGTTCAACCCGTCCTCGGCAGCGCAAACTCCATATGGCCGCATTGACGGGTGGCGGACTCAAGGCGCTTTTGCCAGCTGTACGACGGATTATGGAGGATCATGTACAGCAGTGGGCTAGCAGTGGCCGTGTGGGGATTTTTGAGGAGGTTAGTGTGCCAATCAGCAGTAGGAGCAGCGGGCCAGTGGGGTGGGGGCGGTCCGAAAAAGGGAGGGGGAAAGAGAATTGCGGAGGATTCTAGCCGGGTTTAGCTGTACGGTGGGGAATGGAGCTCGGGGGACGGGTCTTACGCTCTCGAGTCTTCTATTCCCTTGCCTCCCCTGCTCTCCTCTCCTCACTAACCTCCCCTTCTCACCTCCCCTCCTCTCCAACGCCCTCCCAACTCCTACCACTACCCCGTATCCGTCTGTCTCTGGTATCAGCTTCACTCGTTCGTTTGTATCGTCTTCCCACCATTACCCCCGACCCCGGGTCAGGCTCGACGCATGGGTTTGGACCTGTCCATATTCGCCATCACGGGGGTGGACCTGGAGGGCAAGATTGATATGCGCTGGTTTAAGGAGCAGGTAGGGACTGTGATGGAAGACGGAAAAGAGGGGAACACCGCCGGCACAATTGGACACCAAGGTCAACAACGCGAAACAGGGAGGGGAATTGGGGTGTATTGGGAACTTACCACGCAGAGCCTTTTCAACATGCAATTGTGCTGTTGGCAATTGTGCGTCGATTGGCCCCTTTACACGGTGTTGGATATAATACGCGATGTGTGCGCGTGCGCTCGCGTTGATTTTGGAAGGTTGATGTGCTCAGACGCCAGGAGGGGCCCAGCAGGGCTCTGCGCCAAGACCAAAGGGCGCGGTCTAGCTGATGTATAGAAAGTCAGAAGTGGCAGCGGTCCCCAGTCCCGCAGCTGTTTGTCTCACTATGTGCCGCCCCACATACGTCTGTGTGCATCTCCTGGTTCAGTCAGTCAGGGTTTCGGGTCTTGGTGTCAAACAGTCACAGTGGCTTCCTCTCATGCATCCTCCCTTCACTGCTCCTGTCCGTGCTGGTCCCCGCTGGTCCCAATGCCGCCACCGCGTTGGCCCGCAGATGTACTTGTTCCTGGGCGGACTGTACGGACTGCCCTTCGCGCTGCCGGGGACCAAGCTGGCCAAGGGGCTGGCGGCCAAGAAGCGGCTGCTGGGGGCGCTGATGCCGCTGCTGAAAGAGCGGCATGAGGCGTTCCATGCTGAGGTAAAAGGGGGTCGCGGGGTGTGGTGGTGATGGTGGTGGTTGTGGAGTCCGGTTGTGGTGGCCTGAGTGGGATCTGGGGTGGGGTTGTGATGTGATATTGTCCATCCTGGCTAGCTTTCCTGGGAGGGGAATGCGGGTGCTCCGCTGTCGCGGCAGTCGCTCCCGCTGCCGCCTCAGCCGCAGCGCGTCTCATCCCAGGCTTTGGTTTTGGGGCCCTATTTGACACGCAGGCTTGGGTATTTGCAGGCTCCGCCTGTCCACTCGGCCCTCTTCCGCCGCGCCATTCGGGGTTTAGAACTGGCTGCTACAGTGGAGGCCGACCGGCTCGTGCGCAATGCAGTAAACGGGCGTCAACCATACAGCACCGTGGGGTTTAGCCTCCATTAGAAACCCCGCCCCGGTTGGCCAATTTCGGTGTTCAATCCCTCCTAAAATCTCCTGCCCACATGTACCCCCACGCCTGTTCAGTGGGAAGCCGCCGGCGGAGACCCTGCCAAGGTGGCTGCCAAGCTAATGGACGAGTCGGAGGAGCCCATTACGGTGCATAAGGCCCAGATGATGGGCTTCCACAGCATAGGGTACGGACACTCATACGTGTGCCTACTTGTCTGCATGCTGCGGAATTTTTCCATCGTCTCTTGAAACCCCCTTGAAAATCATCATTCGCACTTGCACATTGTCATCATAGCTTTTGCTTATATGTGTCATTGTGGCCTTCTTTCCATCTCTGCTTTACAGTCCTCTCTGCACTCGTAGTTTTCGGCAACTCGTAATCTCCATGATCTATAGCTCCGAAAGCCCACAGATCTTTATGACTTCCACAGCCACTGCAAACTTTCCGGTCCGTAATTTCGTGTCTAAAACGCGAATTTACTCCCTGAACCTCCGGGCTCCGCACCGCAGCGCCGGCACGCTGCGTGGCACCGCCATGTCGGTGCTCCACAGCGTCATGGCCGCCGCTGACACGACCCGCTTTGCGCTGTTCAACACCTGGGCGCTTCTGGCGCAGCTGCCGGCAGTGCAGGACAAGATCTACGAGGAGCAGCAAAAGGTAAGGTTGCGATCTTGTGCAGAGTGTGGTGACACCTCTGGCGTGGCGTGGTCTTTCACAGCAACTCGCTTGGGATTTGCGGGGAATGGGGCAAGTGTGCAGGGTTGGAGGAATACTCGTGGCCGGACTCGTGCTTTTCTGTGGGACACTTAACGGTGACGATCGACCGGCAGGCATACGAGCCCGAACCGGCGTTCAGGATTCATCGTAGTGTGTGCAGTTTCACATGCTGGGACAGGGAGCTCTTACCCAGTGCTTTTACGCACGGCCGTCTAAACGGTCATACAGCATAGCTTATGTCGAATAGATCGAGAGCCACCTGAGGAGTTCTCTAACCTCTCCCCCATTCAAAGGGCGTTCACCTGTGGTTGGAAAGCTGCAGGAATGACATATGATCATTATGTCAGCAACGTGAAAAGGAACTGGAAAGGTGTGCGTGTGAAAAACCGGTTTGTTTGTTGACAGTTGTTGGTTGCTTGCAGGTGGTTTCGGAGCTGGGTCCGGAGTTGAGCTTCCAGGCGTTGTCCAGAATGCCGTACCTGGATGCCGTGTTTAAGGAGGCGCTGCGGGTATTGCCTCCGTCTTCGGGTGGCTTTCGTAAACTGACGCGCGACGCGACCATTTGCGGTGTGACGCTGCCGGCGGGTGAGCGGTTGGATTTCGGGTTTTATTAAGATTTGATCGGGCGGGTGATCTGTATGTCAGTACGTCTGAAGCAAAGTCGCATACGCTATGGCGTACGTCGAGTATGGCGTTTTCCGCGTTAGTGGATCTGTGTACAAAAACGTGCAAAAACACGAAATTTCGCAACATATGCCACCACCACACACCATCGCCGCAACCGTAACATCACCGTGACCCTAGTTGGGCTCTTGATGAGAGCACCATCACCACAACTACAACCACAACTCACCACCACCAACACTGTCGCAGGTACACTCATCTGGTACCACGCGCTGCTGCTGCAAATCTTGGACCCGGTTCTGTGGGACGGTGACACGTCTGTGGATCTGCCTCCGCACATGGACTGGCAGAACAACCTGGAGGCCGCGTTCCAACCGGAGCGGTGGATGGGCGATGAGACACAGCGGCCTCGCAGCTTTTACGTGTTCGGCTGGGGCTCCCATCTGTGCGCCGGAACGAACCTTGTCCAGATGGTGGGTCCAAGAGTTGAATGGTTAACGTTGGATTTGGATATCGCATGGCCCGAAAGTGGCAGAGTTGGAGTCCTTTCCAATACGTCCAAATTCATATGCTGACACATACACACATATAAATATATACATGTATATAATGTAAATTTCTACACATGCAGGAGGTGAAGCTGCTGTTGGCGCTGGTGATGCGCCGTTTCCGACTGGAGCTGGAAATGCCGGACATGCTGACTCGTGCTGAGCTGTTCCCCTACGTGGTACCTGTCAAGGGCACGGACGGTATGCGGCTGGTACCCCGGGAGGAGTCTCTGCCCTGGAACTGAGGGGTTGCAGGTCCTGCTTGCTTAAATGCGGGCGACCCACCGTTGCGGCGTGATTATAATGTTGTCATGCATTGCGGAGAGATTTTCGGCGGTGCTGATGAGTTACCGGGGTTGATATTTTGTGAGGTCGTTTCTGTCGTTGCTGCGGTTGATTTAATTTTGGCCTTGGTCGTGTTGTGGCTGCATGCGGCAGTTTGGATATGGGTACATGCGGGGCTGGGAAGAGGTCCGGGCGGTAGATGTTCGCTCTCAGACGGTGCAGCGACGATGTGGTTGTAGTTCGTGAGGTGCACGTGAGTGGCACGCAGATTCTTAGACAGTTGGGATAGATGACGTCGTGGATGGTGGTACACCTGCGAATGGTTACACGTTGCGGTGCGCACCTCCGCTCGTTCTACCCTTCTGTAAGGTTTGTCTGTCCTACCCTGTCCTGCATGTTGCGGTGGTGCTGTGGTGACTTCGCATATGTTCCATGCGGGCCATAGAACGTTTTTAGTCGAATACATTTGTTTTCATGCTTGGGTTATTGTTACGTGGGCTCCAGCATACCATGTTTTCGCACACTGTTGAATACAAGAAATGCTCGGGCGACAGGCGGCGTGCCATTGTACATATAGTAACGCCTCTTATTACAGTTCGACGGTGCTTGCTCGGGGCCATATACATACCTGCGCTTGAGCTGTCTTTACGCAGTTGCTCGGTCCTGGGATCAGTTATATGTATTCTGTTTCTGCCGCTTTGGCCTCATGGCGCAGTCTGGATTAACTCCTCTTCTCTCGTCCTGAATACTACACGCTCTGTCCTGACTTGTCTATCCCTACTTCTTTTCAGCGGAGCAGCTGGGGTCCGTGAATTATCACTCGCGCGTCGCCATCTTCTTACATTTGCTGGCAGGTTCGCGTCTCGAATTTTACATATCTAGCTGTGATTTGTGGGCTTGGTATCGGAAGATTTGATTCTGTTGGCGGTTAGATCCGTCCGCTGTAACGCCATTAACTCCTGGAGTGGTGTCGGAGCTTATGCATGGACCAGCGTTTGGGCCGCTGGCTCTGCCCTGGACGAGACTTCCTGGATAGCATCCAGGATTATAATGTAATACGGCAACTCGGCTCTGACCCAGCACCCGTACGTCTGTACTTGCACGTGCTGTTGGCTTTTGCGGACATAAATTCACTGCGCAGACCTCTCCCCTGGCAACACACGCGCAGATGCTTTACTTTTATTACCTGTTTGCCTCCATGCACCTATCCTGGTTGCACAGCCCTCAATCATATGTTATAACCTAAACGTCCTCATTTGTCGCTTGTTTTGCGACTCCATCCACGACTCCTGCTTACCCGCATTCCTACCTATCACGCTCCGAAACCTTTTCCAAAACGCACAGTACATGTCCCCCCTATAGATGGTGTCCACTCGCGTACCAGGTTGCCCAACCTATCGTCTGCTCCGTACCTTCATCCTGCTCTCCCAAACTGCTCCTCCGCCTACCATTCGTCCAGCATAAGCGCGTCCACCCCATCTGCATAAGCGTTGTTGCGACCTGATGCAACCTCCCCGCCACCCGGGGCGCTCTTTTCTGAGGCGACATCGATGGCACTAGCCGTGCCGTCCTCCGCCGCCGCAGCAGTAGCAATCCTGTCGTCTGGATTGTTTATAGGAGCTGCTGTGGATGCCGCCGCCCCTACTGCCACCACCGTCTGGATGCTCACGGCTTTCCCGCAGCCTTCCATGGTGACGGCGCCGCTGGCGTCACGTGGAGGCGGGTTCCCTGGAGTTACCTCACCAGAACAATTCGCGACAATCTGCAACGCAGGTAACGATTTTGATTTTGCTGCTGGCGGCAGTGCTGGCGCCGAAACAGCCAGGGGCAGCGGCGACGGCAGCGGCGGGAGGACGCTGGCAATGGTCGCTGGGACACGCAGCCCTCGGCCCCTTCCGTCCCTCTCGACCGGTCCGCTATCCCGGCGAAGGAGCAGAACGGGCGACGGTGATCTCCACCTCGCTCGTTTAGCCGACCGGCCGCGTTCCTCCTCATCGTCCTTTTCAAGATCGAGCGCCGTTACTCCATCAACATCATTACGCAGCGGAGGTACAGAAGCCTGCGCCGCCGCCGCAGCCGGCCGCCCCGTTGGCGCCGGTGGTAATGCCGGCGCGGCAGCGCCGACGGCCTCCGCCGCTGCTGTTTGCGGTTGCGGCTTACACGACCCAAAATTATCACGTGCGTCCGTTGAAGCCACTGCCGCGGCCGCCACTGTCACTTCCCCACCGGACACGTCATCCTGCAACACGGCAGCGCTCGCCTGTTTCTTCCCTTCACAGCTTCCTGTCGGCGGAACTTGCACCTCTTCCTCCGCCTCCGCGTTCATCTTTACTTCCGCTATCAACGCCACAGCCAGGGCCGACCTGCTGCCATCAGCCTGCCCTTGCGGACGACGGGCCCGCACCGGCACAGCTACCGGCCCAGCTACTACTGCCGCCGCCATTGCTGATCCGGCCACAAGGCCCGTCTGGGACGGTAATGTGGTTGATGGGGGAGCCCCTGCCGGTACTGACTGGAGGCCTAGTACGAGCCTGAAACTCGAAATGCTTTCAGCCGCCACGACAGCAGCTGCAGAAGGTGTGGTCGGATCGGCCGTCGGGCTTTCCCCAACCGCCTGATGCGGGCGCTGCAGAGTGCCGGACTGTTCACCTGCCTGGTGCTCATCCCCGGAAGAGATGGCACCGGCAACTCCCGCTGGGGCGGTGGCTGTTGCTACGGAAGCCCCGTCAGCCCCAAGAGCTGCAGCCATCGTCGCCGTCGCCGCCGCCGCCGCCGGAACTGGTCTCGCGGCCGCCGCGACCAACAGCCTCTCGGCAGGTGCCTCAGTTGCAGGCGGCTGTGTGCTTGTGCTCTCATCCGCCACCCGCAGCTCCGGCGGCTCCGCTGTCCTGTCTATCGGCAATAGACCGGTGGCGCTGGCGCCAGCGCCGGCGCCGCCGCTCCGGCTCCCAACACCACCGGGGGCCCGCGGGCTATGCGGAGCGGGCCCTTTGCGGGCGTTGGTCGGCTTGTCGAAGCACGCGATCAGTTGTTCACTATTGGCAAGCGTTTGGATGGCGACCTCTGAATTCCCCTCCACTTTGCAACTTGACGGCGCCGCCGCCGCCGGGCCCTCTGACGGTGCTGATGCTTTTTGACCACCCGACGGCGCCGCCACCAAACCTTGTGACATCGCCGCTGTCGTTTCGCACCTTGAGGGCGCTGCTACCGCTAACTGGGCGGTCCCTGACGGCGCAGCCGCCGCCGCCGGGCCATCTGGCGGCACTGTCGCCGCCGCCGCCGGCACCCCTAACGCCCGTGCTCCACTCTCATGCGTCACCACCTCGACTTCTCCTTTTTGCAACTCACTTGGCGCCGGTGCCGACGTAATGCAGACATGAGCTTCCATCCCTTCCATAAGGCTGGTCAACTTAAGCCGGTTAACACGGCAGGGGGACCCCTGAGGCTGATCAGGGGCCGCAATCATGGACTGGGGTTGGGCACGGCTGCCGCTTCCGGATCTGCCTTCCGCGATTGGGACCTCCGCTGCTCCTTGGCCGCGTTCCGGTGGGCTTAAACCCGCTGCATCCCCACCGTCCCTTGCGGTGCGCTCGTCGTCAGAGGCAGCTGCTCCCGCCGACGCCACCCCCCTCTCAGCTGCGTCGTCTGGCTCTTTCGCGCTTCTTGCAATGGCCGCGCCGCTGTCGCCGTCCATCATCCCAGTTGCTGCCGCCTCCATCTCTTCCATCTCCTTCTTCGCCTCTTCCTCCATTCCCATTTCTTCCTCCACCTCCAAATCTTCCTCCTTTTTCGTGGCTGGCTCTGATGCTTCCACCTTCTCCTCTTCCAGCACCTCTTGAAATTCTTCGCCTGTCGCCATCTCCGCAGCACCCCCCAAGTCCATCGCCATCACCGCCGGTCCGCCCTCCTCATCGCCCAGCTGCTCACTCACCCCCGGCGCGTCCGCACTGCGGCGTTGCGGGTTTGCGGCCTGTCCCTCTACTCCCCCATCGCTCGTGTCGTCCGTACTTTCAGTAACAACGCCTTGACTACCAGGGTCCAGCAACGGCACGGTTGCCTCCTTGCTGCCACCGCCGCCGCCTCTACCGAGCTCCTCCCGCCCACACCAAGAAACCTGATCCGCGCCGACCTCAGATCTCTTGGCCTCCTCTTCCTCTTGCTCCTCTTTCTCGTCCTCCTGCTGCTTCTGCTGCTTCTGCTGCTGCTGCGGCGGCGGCGGCGGCGGCAGTGGTTGCAGCCGCGGAGGCCCACCGCCTTGGCGCATGTGTGGCTTCTCCGCCTCCTCCACACCCTCTTCCGTCCCTTCTCCCTCCCGCTGCTCCACATGCGCCGCCTTCACCTCCTGCCTTTGCACTTCCTCCCTCCCGGGCTCCCAGTCATCCCTTCGATGAATCGCCTCATCGTGAGAGTCCTCCAGCTCCCTGTGGTGCCCCTCAACCTGTTCACGTCGGTAGTGCTCTTCCTCCTCTCGTACTTCCCCCTGCTCAGCGCTGGCTAGGACCGGGTCCCGTTGACCGTCACGTCCTATGTAGGCCCCCCGCTCCGCGTCCTGTTTAGGACACGGCTCTGAACTGCTATCAGCAGATTCCTTAGCAGCAGGCGTTACCGTCCTCGGTCCTCCGACGCAAGCGTTGTCGCCGCCGCATCGAGCGCTGCCGTCATCATCAGCAGGTGCGCCGCACGTCCGCTTCGACCCATCGGTGCCGTTTCCAGCGGCGTCACCCGGTAGTGACGGCGCCGTTGCTGCCGCCATTTCACATGCTCCTCCTCCGCTGCGCTGCTGGTGGTTCGCGCCACCTGCTGGTAAGGTCAGCTGCTGCCCCATCGGATCCGGCTCGTCTGCGTCCGCTGGAGGAGGCGGTGCTGCTGCTGCCTTTGCCGCCAGCGCTGGCAGCAGCGGCGGCGCTGCCGCCGTCGCGCGAAGCGCGGCTGGCGTTCTCGCAGCAGCCGGCATTTCACTGTTGGCAGGCACCGCTGCAGCTGGCGGCTTCAGGGGCCGCCGCGCTGCACCCGAGATGCCGCGGACTAGCTTCACCGCCCGCGGTGGTGCGGCAGAAGCTGCTGATGCGCCCACCTGAGTTGGAGCCGGTGCTTGAGGTAGATGGGGCGGTAGAGCCGGTGCTGCGGCCGCCTTCTTCGGGGTTCGGCGTTCCGCCCTGCCCACCGGGACACCGCCTCCACCTTCTGCCTCCTTCGCTTCAGACGTCACCACCTTCACGACAGCCGAGGAGAGCTGCGATGGCGGCGGCGGCGGTCGCGGGGGTGGTGTTGGCATGTGCATCGCCGCCACTGCGGCTGTGCAGCCGCCGCCGAGGGGGTTCCTTCCTCGGCTGTTGAGTTTCGGAGCTTCGATATCCACTGTACCGTTATTGTTAACTTCATTTTTGGTTTTATTGTTTCTGGTAGTGGCGGTGGTGCTGTTGTTGTTGATGGCGGGTGGGGTAGGTTTTCGTGGCGGCGACGACGCCAGAGCCAGCGGCGGCCGCGGCGGCGGCGGCAGTCGCGGTGCCGGGTGCGCTTCAGTCACATCTGCCGCTGCAGCTACAGGACGCGGAGATGGCGGCGGCAGCGGCGGTGCAGGTGGCGGTGGACGCGGCAAGAGGGTCTCCAAGGACACTGTGAATGCCTGAGAGGAGGGCGACGAAGAGCGTACGGAAGCGAACCAAGCGCATTAGCGCTTTCACGCGTCCATCTGTCTGTCTATCTGTCTGTCTGCCTGTCTATCTGTCTGTCTGTCTGTCTATCTGTCTCTCTGCAGGTGGGAGGGAGCAGTCCTTACTAATAGCCCGACTGAGGGTTCCTAACATTTCAACCTTTCGATGGAACGGGAATTTTAGTGAAGCAAAAAACTGTTGTTCGAGCCTGGTGTACGGCAAACGAGGGCACGAGACGGATGCAATTCAAGTGACACACGACCACGTGCCAGCGGCTCCTCTGGCACTGGGATCCAGATGCCTCCGTCTATCTGTTTGCATTGTTGCCGTTTCCTTCCTCTCTCTCCGTGTTCCCCCTCCCCCTCTCTCTCTCTCCCTCTCTCTCTCTCCCCTCTGTGCCCCTTCACGCGCTCCCTTCAAAAACACCATTGCGCACCGTGCTGCACCAGCGGCCATGCCGTACATGAGTGCAAGCGGTTTCCACTCCGTGCCGGTGCCGGTGCCGTGCTGGGTCCTCCCCCACCCCCCCACTCAATCACCTGTTCCAGAAGGCGTCCCAGCTCGGTACCGCTGCCGCCGCCGGCATCACCGCCGCCGTTGCCACTGGCGCCGCCGCCGCCGCCGCCGCCGTCATCATTCAGCCCAGCCAGCTTCACGGCCATGGCCAACAGCTGCTGCGACATGCCCCTCTCATGGCCACCGCCGCTGCCGCCGTTGCTACTGACACCTTCCGCTACAGCCGCGTTGTAGCAGGAGGCCCATAAATGCTGCAATTCCGAGGCAGGGTACGGCGGGGACTGTACGGCAGTTGTGTTTTGGCGGTCTCCTTTTTGGTCGTCTTTTTGGTCGCTGCAAATGTCCTCACCGACGCGACCGCGGCCGCCAGAGCCGCGCTGCTGCCGTACCTTTGCTGCGACTTCTGCAGCCCGCTCACATACTCTAAGTCGTACTGGTGGACTGCAGAGCTGAAACAGCCGCCTGATGGCCTGAACCAGGCGCGGAGGGGCGGAGGGGGAAGAAAGGAAGAAACACACACACATACATACACGCATACACACACAGGGTGCCTCAGGTCAGGGCGGTAAACCGAGGGAAGACATGGATCCGTCCATCCGTCTGTCTGTCTGTCTGTCCGGGCTGCTGCTGCTGCAGCCGCAATAGGAACCACGGGCGACGAACTCGACAGCACATGCAGCACTCGCATCTCGCTGAGGAAGATACATTCGGACATTCGGACTCCCCCGCCATTAGGGAATGCGTACGATCCGCCCAGAAGCCTCCCACTCTGTAACGATGAATCAGTTAGGGAAGGCTAGGTAGCGCCATGCTGCCTCCTTGCAGGGGCACCTGATCGGTGAGCTGGGGGAGCTCTAGGACGAGAGCAGAGGATCGTTCTAAGGGCCTGCGGCAGGCTCTCGGCAAGGCTCGGCTACTTACCCGGGGTGCCCGCAGACCTGTGTTTGGTTTTGCGTTTCGGCCACTTACCCGGAGTACGGAATTTTCTTTCCGTGGCGGGTCTAAGGGCCTTCGGCTCCTCCGTCTCGACCCGGGACAACAGAGTCCGGTCCCGGGCTCCCCACCACCACCACCACCACCACCACGTAGTAGGAGATAACAAACCCGGAATATCTATCTGTTCACGAGATAAATTCCCATATCAACTCCGTATTTTCCACCTCCCCCCGGTCCCACCCAGGGGTCTAAAAACAGGTCTGAAACAGGTCTGGCTGACCGACTGACTGACGTACCCGAGCTACGATGTCGACGCTCGAGTCCTCAGCTCGCCGACTACGACATGCACCTGACGGTGGCGGCGGCGCCGCCGCCAGCGCTTTACGCATGGCAAACCCCAGCAAGCTGCACGCCATGGGCGCGCAGCGCCAGGGGCGACCCGGAGCCAAACAGAGCTCCGCCAGCGCTTCCAGCTGCGTCGCGCTCACTGCCGTATCCTCTACTAGAGCCTGCACCGTACGCCGTACAGACGGACCAATACAGACGCACAGATATATTGGCGTTTCAGGCCCAATGACGGTTTATCTCCGCAATGCAATCATCATCCAGATGCATCCGGAGTTGTACACGGAAACGGAAGGCACGCGCTGCAACAAATCACAGACTCCGCAAGCAGGGCACCAAATCTTTTCAACGTCCAACAACATTGCAATTATGTTGATCTATGGCCAGTAGATCCCCTTGCGGGAATGCTAATTGCTGTCTTTTTTGTAAATATCTTTTTTCCTTTTTTCTTTTTCTGTTGTCCCTTCTTTCTTTCTTTCCTCTCCGTAGACCTAATGTGCTCTTGGGCAACGGAAACGATGTCTCGGAGGGTCTCCTCCGCCGCCGCCGCCGCCGCAGCAGCAGCGACCGTCTGCCACGTGGCCCGGGGTGTGTTGCGCGTATACACAGGAAAACGACTACTGCTAATCGTTACACGTGTGTGTGTGTGTGTAGTTAGCTTTGGTAGTAGCGTCAGCGTCAGATTGGTTTCCGGATAACACCCTGTAGTACCCCCCACCCCGTGCGACCCTTGTGCGGCCGTTATGCTGTGGCACTTCCATCCAGCTTCCAAGAGCGGCCCTCCAAGCAGCCCTCGCCAATATCCTCCGCTCTGTTAACTCTCGCCTACTGCCCCTCCTGGTCCCACATCCCACATCCCACCGACCATCGTACCTGCAGGGCCGCCTTCTGGCCCCGCTCGTCCCGCAGATACGTGGCCGCCACGAAGAGCAGCTGCGACGTAGCCGCCCGCAGGGAGCTGGCGGAGGCGCCGACGGGGACGGTGGTGGCGGCGGCGGCGGCGGCAGCGGCTTGGACCTGGCCGGCCGCTGACGTGCGGGCGATGTGGTGGTCTTTATGGTGTCCCGCTGGCCGGTCCGCGACCCGTGGGTCACTTTTGGCGCCTGGGTTGCTGCAGTCCTGAAGCAGCAGCAGCAGCTTGCGGGCGGACTCGACCACCGCCGCCGGCGCATCGCCACCGCCACCGCCACCACCACCGCCATCACCATCGCCAGCGTCGGTGTCGGGGGGGCCTGCGATAGACTGTAGCATGCAGGCTGCCACCGCCACTGTCGCAGTCTGTCAGCGAGGTGTCAGTATCGGGTGTTGCAATGCGGAGCGGCCAGGAGCCATCAGGACCGTCAGGACGGTTAATTCACGGTTGCCGAAACGGGCTTCAGAACTGCCTCTGAATCCACAGGTTGCAGTGCGGCGCTTTCGCCCTGGGCCATTTTCCCCCCGTTATCTGACCATGTCGACCATGTCTCGCCTGTACGCTGTAATGGTACCCAGGACTTCATCTGTCGTACATAGTATTGCAGCGCCGGTCCAACCACGTCGTTCGTACACCTCAAGGTAAGCCCTAAGTGAGTCGTTCGTGCATCACAAGATGTAACTCAAGCATGTGCCATATTGCTCACATGTAACTTGAGTTGCCAACCGTCGCAACGGCCCTCACTGCCGCAGATATCACCACAGCTGGCGCCGCCGCCGCCGCCGCCGCCGCCGCCGCCGGATGCGACCGCCTGTCGCCGGTCCCTCACACTGGCGCAGCGGTCCAGGGATGGCGGCGCGCCGTTGGCGCCGCCGGCCGCCCGAGCCGCCGCGCCCAGCTGCCGCGCGCAGCCCAGCGCAGTACGGGCCATACGCCAGTCCCCAGGGCGCTGCGGCGCCACCGTTGGACACTGCGCTTCGCCACGGTCCTTGAAGAGCTCCGGGTCGCGCTCCATGCAGTCGTAGGGCCCTGGTAAAACCCGGTAAGGTCGTTGATGCGCGAGATGGTTTCGGAGGGGCCCGCGGAGCGACGTTCCGCCGCCTCCGTCGCAGCCGCCGCCGTCGCGGCCGTGTTCACTGGCGGTAGTACACTCAGTGGCGGCGTCCGCACTTCCGCCGCCGCCGCCGCCGGCAAGCTCCATTCCAACACCTAGGCCCTCGTACACAAGGCCCAGTGCGACGTCACGAAGCCACTCCAGGGTGGGCTGAGGGTGCGGGTGGGCGGGGTTTCGGAGGGCCCGTTTTGGCAGCCGGAGGCCGGGAAGGAGGCGGGGTGTGCCTGTTTGTCATCATGCAAGACCGCAATCCGTGTCGTACCATCTTAGCGTCTGCCGTACGCACATGCTTTGTCGAGGCTACAGTCTTATGAAGCGACATCAACTATGCACACACATAACAGCCGTGCGTGAGTGTGTGCTTTAAGGATCTGAGCCGCAGGCAGGAACTGGCTCGAGGATGGTACATGAGTGCCTTCACCGATTCATGAAAGCTAATAGTCCAGAGAGGGAGGATGTCGATGTTGGTATGCTTGGGGTTTTGGCCGTCGTTGCAGCCGTTATCTTCATGTTCTTTTTGGTGGGGGCAAGGCTGAGAGAGCAATGTACGCGGGAATGGATGCATTGTGGGGGGAAACTCGCTGGCCTCCGAGTGGTTAGCTGCAAGCACTTTTTCCGGAAGACTACGGCTTGCTCACGCTTCTCTGCACACTTCCTTCGTACGATTCCCACACCAGCTTTAAAACACGATGTACGGCTCTGAAACACATTATACGGCTCTGAAACATATTGTACGGCTCTGAACATGATGTACGGCTTTCTCTCCTAAAACGGCACCGCTTCGTTCGTTTTAAGATGCTCAACATTACCCCCCCACACACACCCCCACACCTTCGCTTCCGCAGCCATGCTCGCGATGTCACGTGTTTCAGCGGTCTGCAACCGGCCGCACAACCACCGCAAGTCCTGCAGCGAAGCCATGGCGGTGCCGTACGATAGGCGGAGGGCGGCTCCGTCGGTGCCAGGTGCTGATGGGGGCGGTGCTGTACCGACAGCCTGGGTTAGGTTGGGCCCCTTACCGCCGCCGGCCCCGCCGTCGCGGCTATCATCCACCACGGCGGCGGCGGCGGCGGCGGCAGCGGTGGCGGCGGCGGTGGCGGATGCCGTCAGCGCGGGATCAGCTCGGAGCCGGGCAACTAGGCAGTTCCGTGTGAGCTGCAGAGGGATAGTCAAGTCGGCAACAGCAGCGGCGGCGGCTGGATGGCGCTGTGACGGCGGCGGCCGCGGCGGCATCGCGCCTGGTCCTGCTTCGGCTGTGACGGCGGCGGCCGCGTCGTGCCCGCTGTCGATGCCAGTACCGCAAAAGCGCATCGCCAGCTGCGTCGCGGCGATGGCGATGCGATGGCGGCCGGCGCGGGTCGCGATGTCGTACGCCACCTGCAGCACATCCGGATGGACCACCAGCTGGGCGAGCCAGGTGACGATGCACGAAACCCTAAGACTATCCGTACACCACCATAATGAAACGTGTCGTACTCTCAAGGCTGGGTCTGGCAGTACGAGTGTATTAGGAAAGCAAAATCTGCCGTCACACGTATTATAGTCAAAAGGATGTTAACATCATTTGCAGCAGCTCCGCATTTCCTCATAATGTCCTCCCTAAACCTAAAAGTTTTTCTTTAGCATTGTGCGGTTGTCGTACCGTCAGATGGTGGATTTCAAAGTCGCAGCACTGAGGTAGGCGGTCCATCAAGCGCAACGGCTCCGTGTCGTTCTGCATCGCCGCAGCGGCAGCGGCAGCGGCAGCGGCGGCGGTGCCAGACCCAAGCGACCGGGCCCCGTCCTCGCTGCCGCCACCGTTCAGTGCAGCGCACACCGCAGGACGTGGAGGTCCCGCCGCCGCCGCCGCCGCCGCCGCCGCCTCCTCGGCTTGGATTTTCATCACTAGCCGCAACCTCAGCAGCAGCAGCGCCGCCGTGTCAGGTTCATGAGGTTCAACCAAATCCAGGTAACCCATCGCCATGCGCGTCTGGCCCAGCACGACGTAGCAATTGCTGAGCATCCTGGCCGTACGGCAGTACGGCGCGCTTCCGCCGCTGGCGGCGTACAGCAGCGCGGCGGCAAAGAGGCGCGCGGCGGCCTCGCTATCGGCCTGCTGGTAGGCGGCGGCGCCGCGTGCGAAGAGCAAGCGGTGGAGGCGGTCCCGTGGGTCGGCGGCGTCGCAGACGGCGGCGACGACGTCGTCGTGCGCGAGGAGGCTCAGCAATTGCTGCTCGGCGATGGGGCCCTGCAAGTGCAAGTCCCCCCAACCCCCAAGCACACGGGCATGGGTGATGTACGGGGATGTACTGCGACGTACGGAAATGACGGGGGACTTCGCAGATAGGTCCTGCAAGCGCAAGTACCGGCCTTGGCTTGGGGTAGTCGCACATGAGCATAGCGCAAAGGGATGGGTTTGGTTTAATAGCTCCAGGGCGCTAGGGCCCCAGGAACATGTCAGCGCGCCAAGGCGTCATTCCTCACCTCGTAGCAAGACACTGCCTTCGCGACCTGCAGTACAAGCTCGGCGCCCGCGTACGGAGGCCAGGGTTGCGCTGCCGTACCGCCGCCAGTTCCAACGCCGCCGCGGCCACCCTGTGCCTGCTGCACTGCGCTCCTCTTCCTCCCGCCGCCGCCGGCACCGTTGCTGCCGCCGCCGGCGGCCTGGCGGCAACGCGCCAGGGACGCCATTAGGCAGGTGGTGATGGCTGGAAGCGAGGTGAGAAGGTGCTCCAGCGAAGGCGATGGTGGGTTCAAGAGCCGAGAAATGGCGGCCTGGGTGGGAGAAGAAGGAAGGGGAGGGAGCAAGATAAAACATATTCATATATGTTAATCCTTATAATCATAGCTACGCACCTGTGGCCGAGTGGTTAAGGCGCCGCCCTGCTCAGACGGTGAGTTCACTCCCCGTGCGTACGAATCGCATTGGGTGCGGTCAAGTTTAAGGATACGATGAAACTCAATGGTGTTGAACCTCTTTAAACATATGCATGAAATGGTTGATGGATGATGGTATTGGAAGATGTTAGGATGCTCTTGTCCCCCGAGATTCAGAGAGTTTGTGAAATTGGCCCTCACATAGCATATATATGGGACTCTTTATACCACACAATATACATTATACATGCCGCGTTGCATGCTCGCTAAACAGTAGTCCAATCTCCCGTCTATTGTCGTACCTTGACAATGTCGTACGTGCACGATGGGTTGGGCTCGACTTCGCGGGCCAGCACCGCTGCCGCCTCTGCCGGCCTGCCCAGCCCCAAGCACGCCCTCAGCCGAAATAACGCCACCTCAAGCTGCAACTCATTAGACCGGCGGGAGAAGGCCTTGCCTGCGTCGGCGCCGTCGCCGGTACCGCTGCTGAACTCGGCTAGAGGCCGTTCGTACTCCCGAATGTACGACAGCGCGTCTTCAAAATTCCCCAGGCGGAGGTTGCCGGAGATGAGCATTGTCAGAACCTGGGACAGGTAGAGGAAGAGAGAGGGGAGGCGGTGAAAAGAGGAAGAGAGAGGGGAGGCGGTGAAAAGAGGAAGAGAGAGGGGAGGCGGTGAAAAGAGGAAGAGGGAGGGGAAGAAGAGGAGAAGGAGCGGATGCTGCCTGCTTCGTGAAGGGTTTGCGGGGGCCTGAGGAAATATCCTCACGGCGAAGTTGAAAAGTAAAAGCCGGAAGAGAGCGAAAGTAAAAAAGAGGGCACTGCCGTGTGGCTGCCTAGCCTAGCGTATCCTAGCCGATACCCTGGAGGGAACGGGCAGTGGAGAAGAGGAAGAGTGCGGCTGCGATCGACTCCACCAGGCTTGACAAGCATCCCAAAGCACAAACCTATATGGGTAATGGGCAATGGCACAAAACCACACCAGGCGCCCCTGCCCCTGCCTCTCTGCTTTCCTATTCACACTAGGCCGCAAGCCCACCACCCTCCGCCGCCAACCGCCGCCAACCGCCGCTAACCGCCGGCGGCCATGCTCCCCTGATCTCCACAGCTCTCCACACCTACCTGGCGTCGGGTATCCCCCAGCTCGCCCGCCGGGTCCACCTCCCGGCGCCACTGTACGGCATCCCCCGCCTCCTCCTGCTGTTGCTCTCCTGCCGCCGCCGTTGCCGCTCCATTCGCCGCCGCCGCCCCGTGTTGTAACCCAGGCGGCCCGACCTCCAGCACCGCCTCCAGGAACGCCAACGTATCCGCCAGCAGAGTCAATCCATCCTGCATATCCCCTAAGACATCCCGCCTTTTCTGCTGCTGGTGGTGGTGGCGGTGCTGCGACGGCAGGGGCTGCTGTGACGGCAGGAATCCTGCCTGTCCGTCGCCGTCGCCGCCGCCGCCGCCGCCGCCGCCGTCCAGCTTCCTGGAGGCGACCATCATCAGCTTTGTGGCGGCGTCCAGAGCTGTATCCGTGACCAGATCGGGCGGCATGTGGGGGGAGGAGAGGAGCCCCTGCAGCCGGATGAGCAGGTTGGTGCTGAGGGCCTGGGGGCCGCCAGGGTGGGGGGGAGGGGGGGAAAGACCAACCACGAACGAGTGGGGAGAGGGGAGGAGAGAGAGAGAGAAAAAGGTGGGTACGAGGTGGGGTACGAGGAGCGGAAAGGTGGGATACAAGGGACGGATAGGGAAGGGAGACAAGGATGTAAGATGCGGCTGGGAGAAATTGCAAGCGAACATCAAGGAAAAACTGTGCCGGAAAGTCTAAAGTACCAACTGCCGTCGTCCGAGGCAATGGCGCAGCTGCTCCGGAACCGTCCTCCGGAACCGTGCTGTGTGTGAGGGGGGCCCCGAAACCCAAGATGGAATGTATTGCGCAACAAGCCCAGGCTCCAGACAAATCCCGAGAAACCTTTTGCGTTTCCACGCGAGTCGCGCAAGCTGTACAAGCCTTACACGCCGTACATGCCATGTGTGCCGTACTTGCCTTGTGCCCCTCTGCCAGCGCTAGCCGCAAGCTCTGGACTAGCACTGACGCCTCCACCGCCAAATATTCTGAGGCGCTGACTCGCAGTCTTGACCATGGCCCGCCGCTGGCCGCGGCGGCGGCGGCGCCGCCACCTGCTACTGCAGCTGTGTCCCCTTCCCCAGCGCCGAAACCACTGTCCTCGCCGACCCGCTCCTCCTCCCCATTCAGTGCCCCCACCAACTCCCAATCCCCTGCAGCCCCGCCGGCGGCGGCCGCGGCAGCGCGTGCTGTCGTGCGGCGTGCCGGCGGGCGGTGTTTGCGGCCGTTGTACGACAATCCATGCAACGACTGCACGGGATCCGTAGCATCATATGCTTGCAGCTGGCCCAGTCCTTCGCGCGCCCGCGAGAGGTACCAGTTGGCCAGGTCCCGTTGACCGCTATCCAGCCACGCTCGACCCATCTTTCCACCGCGAAGGCCGCAGAAGGGGGCAGCCGTGAGTGGTGAAAAGGGCCGCAGCGGTGAGAAGAAGGTTCCAGAATGAAGGGGGATGTACATGCTGAAATAGTGATGGAGGGGGACAGCTGGAGGAGGCGGACTTGGAATACAGGAGCGAGGCATGTGGGTAAGGGTTTGAGGTTCTACCGTTCCAGTCCTGCCTTGCGACTTGGGAATGACCATTTTTATATACATATTACTAACTTGGATTCATGTCATCCATCATCGTCCGCTACAGCTCAGCCAAAGATGTACGGCAGCCGCAACAGCAGAACGTCGGCGCTATTCGAGCGGAATTCAACCTCTGGAATGTACGACAGGGAGACGTCATGTCCATATGTACGATCCATAGTATTGCAGCTCACCCTAACGAAGAATGCCACTCGGGCAAACAACGCCGCCGCGCTATCTTCCTCCTCCTGGTCGTCCGCCGCCATCGCCACCGCCACCGCCGCCGCTGCAGCACCAGCAGCAGCAGCAGCAGTAGCAGCAGCAACGGCCCCAGCTGCACCAGCTACGCCGCCCGCCTGAATTCTGACGCCCGTCGGGCTGCCGGGGGTTGGCAGCTCGCAAAGCAGGTCGTACATCTTGCTGCGGGACCGCAACGCGTCAGGTCATGAACACGACTACGGTAGTGTTCTGAACAGATTTCTATCGGCGCTAGTAGTGGTGCTGTCAGCATGTATGTATATAACCCAAATACATCGGGGCATATGGGCATATACCAAAAATCACGTTATGTGGAATTCAGAGGCATGGAGGTCGTGCCGGCGCCCCCCCGTTAGGTCAAGATGCCCTCCCCTCCTCTCCTCTCACGCGGGCGGACCCCGATTTCACTGGGTCGCAGAAGGCCGCAGGGCCCATTTGGGTCAAGACGGGCGTTTAAGTGCCTACAAGCATTAGAAAGAACCACAACCTGCCCGGCAGTCCCTCACACACGGAGGCCCCTGCAGTGACATGTTGCACTAAGAGAACCCCAGCACTAAGAGAACATGTCCGGCCCGGTTGTGGGCACGTGCACATCATTTCACCGGCTGCTTAGTACACACCCGGCCAAGCCTTGCAACGTCCGGGAAAGGTCCAGCACGCCAGGAACCGACCCGGCAGGTTGCACCGCCTGATAGGCCGCTTCCTGAGGCGGACGGGGAGGGCAGGAGGTAAGTGGGGTAAGTGGGGAGGGAAGGGACGAACCTCTGGCGACTGAAGCAGATACTGAAGAGACAAGGGGATTGGCAAGGAGAAGACAAAAGCGGGGAGAGTGGCAAAGGCAGGGCAGCAAGCATGCCATCACTTTTACAGGGTAGTGTTGCCTAGTGGGGCACCAGGTTCCAGTTCGCGAACTACAGAGCCAAAGGCGAACACACACCGCTCGTCCGCCCGCTTCTTCACGTTGTAGGAGCCCCTCTTAAGAAGGCCCCACCCCAAACTGGCGATTGTGGGATGGAAATATGTTTTACTTCATACCTGGACCTCCGCTCTCCGCCTAGGATCCGTTGCAAGCCCCCACCATCACTAAAATTCATTTCACTCGCTCACCATGCAGAGGCGACACAGCCGCCAGACGTCACCCCGATCTCGCACCGTCACAGGGGCTGCTGCCGCTGGGTGACCTGCCCTCCAACTGGCACTGCCGCCGCCGCCGCCGCCATTGCAGCCGCCGCAGTCACGCAGAGCGCCTTGCAGGGCTGCGACCGCCGAACCCAGCTGTTCAAGGTCTGCTGTCGATGGTAATGTCGTATTGCTTCTGCCGGACGCCACCGGCGCCCCTGCCGCCTCCGGTTTGGTCGCTGCGCCGACTTGCCCGCCGCCGGGAGCTGCCGCTGCGGTTTTCCCATCTGGGTCGGGAGGAATCAGCTTCCAGGCGACTAGACGCGTGCGGAATAAGCTGAGGGCATAGTTGAGAAGCGTGCGGTGTCGAGGTTGCTGCAGCGACTGTGGCGCCGCAGCTGCTGTCGGTGATGGCGCCGCTGGCAGCGGCGGCAGGAAAAGCTGTCCTTGCTTGTCGCGGCGAAGGGGCAGCGGTTGCTGGTCGATGCGCGGCCGCACGCGACGTGGTACTGAGTCCGCCGCGGATGTTGCTTCCGCTTCAGCCTCAGATCTGCCGCCAGATGCTGTGGTCAAGGCTTCTTTTGCTGGCAACACGCCTTGCGATGCGCGACGCCGAGAAGCTATTATGTTGGGAGTGACCTTGGAGAGTGGCTGCCGCCGCAGACCGGAGGATGGAGGTGGATGCCGTAGGCCTGGCATGGCTCTGCTAGAGGTGGTGAAACCGCTGGGCGCTTGCCGCCCGGCGGACGAGGTTTGATGCTGGTCAAACGAAGTCCAGTCGTCGTCGTCCCAGACGTCGTCAAAGTCCATTTTTTGAGTTTGCTGTAGTTTGAAGATTGGAGTTTAAGAGGATTAGGACTATAGACCTGGAGATTGGGACCTGGCTTGCCGGCTGCTATGGCTAAACCTGCTGAAGCTGTGAACAGGTCAAGTTTAATCCTTTATTGCTCACAGATAATAATTCTGATGACTGGCCTCGTCTGGGTCTCCGCAAGTTCTAACTTGGCATAGATGGGGGCAGGGACATCGGCCAAACTTTCCTCAGGCGCTTCCTTCCCTTTACATATGGATGGACCACTTCAAGCTTATAAAGAATTAAATATATACCTACTATTATTATTCAGATGAGACAGCAAATCATTTTTTGGAGGATTGGAGCAGTATTTCGCACTCCTTACGACCCATGGAGCATTTCTTAGCTTACGGCAGGGCCTTTCGACTCAAAGAACAAGAAGGATAAAAAACAAAAAACAATCCAATATTCTACTTGATTTATGCCCCTGAACGGTTCACGCTCGAAGCATTCCCGCCAAAGCTGAAGGATTATTGTACAATGTCGTGTGTTCTCTCCATTACGGGTTACGACAGCCTTGCTTGCCGTTTTAACACACGTGTCGGATAAAGTGTTTCTAAGCAACACGTTATGAGTGCAGTGCACGGTCCGCTGTGACCCGACGTATGGCCCCTCATGGGTTTATTCCCTTGGGGTCTGCGGCTCGCTGTAATACCTACTACTATGACTTTTATGCAACGATCCTCGAGAGATCCTAAAAGTGTTTGAAGAGATAAGCGAGAGATTCTCAGGTGGATGTCCTGAGGGCCCCATCAGAGGAGCGCCATACTACCACCACCATAAGCGTACAACCGCACGGAGGGTGTCCCCCTTCACAATCCCCCTCCACAGGGTAATTATGATGTGTGAAACAGGGGGGTACATCTTCACCCGTGGCAGCTACCCTGCGAAACCCTGCCTTCCCCGGTATTTCGCGGCACCCTCATCCAGTGAACCTAGTCAACTTCTCAGTGGATCGATTAAGTTCCACCAACCGCCAGCATCCAACGGAATCTGCCGGATCGACTGCGGCCCAACTCCATTCCTGGCCGGCTCGCGAGTCAACTTTATCCCAGGCTACCACCGTCCATCGACTAGGGACACTTTTCCCTCCACCATCGAAAGGATTTTCGACATTGAACACCATTTGCGACCTGATCTTTACAATAGTTACAAGTTACTAGTTACAAGTTCCGCACAAGTGCAGGGGTGTCCGTAAAAGCCGGGGAAGGGGGCCATGGACGGTAAATCGTTTTTAGTGCGGTTACGTGGTGGACCATCATCGTCCTCCCTCGTCCGCTTGAGCACGAAGCGCCTTAGTGCAACGTGCCGGGTCTCCCAGACTTCCGAGAGGAACCTGGCTAGCGCCAGGGGTTGGGCCTCGGTCATAATCGTGCGCATGTTGCGCCCTTGAAGCGCGAGGTCACGTTCGTACTTAGCCCGTGTACTTGCGTACGCCGGGCATCCCACAAAGACATGCATTTCGTCTTCAACCGCCCCGCAATCACAGAGCCTGCAGGTGCGCGCTGTGCGCTCACGGCCGTTAGGTCGGTTAATCTCTAACTCCCAACAGCCTAACCGGAAACGCATAAGCATTTGATGCAAACGTTGAGGCATGGTGATTTCAGCGTGGGCCAACCACTTATGCCTCGTGCCCCTAAGTGGGGGCGCCCCCATCCAGTATATAGCACCTGGCCATGATCTCACGCTCCCCACACTATCGATATGCTGCCGAGGAATCGAACCCCAACCCATCAACCGCAAACTACGCTCATACCTCCAAGAATAATGCATAATAGATTAAACGAGTTGACCCATCTATACCGGCATGTACTACGCCCCGCCCAATGCCCGAGAGTCTTGCATTGTCGTAGCTGTTGAGATGCACCAGCCGCGCCGCTGCGGTCTCGGCCTGCTGATGCCTGCTGGCTGCATGAACGGACGCAGGCGGCGCGCATCGTGCTTGACAATTTCGCCCTACAAAAGAGCCGCAGCCAGGCCGTCAAGCGTCATTGCCGTCAGGCCGTCAAGCATCATTGCGCCTCCGTCATAAAGTAGCTGTGACGAAGTTTAGAGTCAGCATAAAGCGGATGGAACCAGGGAACAGGACATGGTCGGCAGGAGCAGATCTTGCTCGCTGTGCTGCGCCAAGGCAACATGCCAGGTAGGAACACCAACGGCAGCTTTCTGAAATCACCACCTGGCGGTCACCATGATAGATTCGGCGGAGGGCCGGTGGCACTCCAGCCAGAAGGCTGCCCCGCAATCAACGCACAAAGCTGACACGCAAGCAAGGCTCAGCCCGGATACGTGTATATCTTCCCTGGGATATGATAAAACGTCTGGCATCAATACGTTGCAGGATTTATCCAAGGTGTAATCTATTCCTTCAGCGTGAATGTGAGGAATGTGAGAGTAGGACGGAGCTTTCCGCCACGCAGCAGCTTGCAGCAACGTCCCAACGGAGCTGCAAGCGGTAACTGCAAATGCGCAACATATAATCTTGTGGCCATTTCCTGCGTGTTACGATTAAGACCGTGTGCAACAGGTACACTTCTTAATATGTTGTTACAGGGTGGTTAAGCTTCACCAGTGGCCTCCTTCCCGAGGCAGTTCCCTGCTCTCCCCTGCTAGAGGGGCACCCTAATCCATTCACCCCATCCGACTTCAGAATGTACTCTTTGAGTTTGGCAACTCACCACCGGCATCCAACCAAATCTAGCGGATCAACGGCGCGTCAACTTAGTTCCTGGTCAGCTCGCAAGTCACATCCAGGTCTCGTCACATCCTTTCGTAGACTTATCCTACTCGCCGGACTCTGCATAAGGCACCATCGCTGGTAAATTGGTTAAAGCTGAAGCTCGGAGCGCTATGCACACAATGCCCGTTATGTTATAGACTTGTAGTTGTTGCGAGTAGAGGGTAGGACAAACTGTCGGGCAGAGCAATTCTGTTGACTACCCCGGTCGCACAATTCCCGTGCTTCCCTAATTCGACACCCTGAACACGCTAATTCTGACTGTCCGAATGTCCCTGCCAGGCCAATTCGACACCCTGTCAGCCTAATTCTGACTGTCGGAATGTCCCTGCCAGGCCAATTCATATCCCTGTCAGGCCAATTCAAGGGCCTGTCCCGGCAATTCAACTTGTCCCAGGTGTCAATTTAAACCCTTCTACCGAGCAATCTAGACCAATTGCAGGGTCTGCCCCGCCCAACGGAGAGCTCGATGGATTAAGGCATAGATTGCATATGGCGAACATATTCTTCTCGGCAGACATCTGCATTTTCATTTGTTTTCAATGTAGCTCGTGGTACTGAGTTTAGCGGTTTATCAGAGATTTGTCATTGTTTCCACCCGAACCTATTCATGCATACGAGTGTTGTGGGATAAACTGGACGGACTGTCGATAAAGTGTGGTGGGAAAACAGTGGGACCTCGGCAGCTGACTTGACTGGGTAATGCAGTCGTGGCCCTGAGTGCTTGCCTCCGGTAGAAGTAGTAGTGCCAGAGTACGGTAACCAGGTGTGCAAGTTTTCCCACTCCATGTCGTGGGATTGAATCTAATACACACATGAGGCACTTGTAAGCGGTCCTCTTGCAAAGTTTTTCTGTAAAATCCTTAAAAGTCATGTGCTTTTGGATGCCAGCCCCAGCCAATCCTGCCAACTTGACAGCTAATTCGACACCCTGTCAGGCTAATTCGATACCCTGTCAGGCCAATTTGACACCCCGAACAGGTCAATTCGATACCCTGTCAGGCTAATTCAATACCCTGTTAGGCCAATTCGGCACCCGGACAGGCCAATTCGACACCCGGACAGGCCAATTCAGGCGCAGCACAGCCCAATTCCGAGGCTCCACAGCGCATCGAATACCTCCGGCGGGTCCGCCAGAACAATTCCAGACCTCGGCAGACCAATTCTTTTGTCAGGAATAAAATCCAGGCTAATTCTGCGACAGAGCTCTTCCCTAATTCCAGCCCGAATCCTACCCTCCTTTGCGAGCGGCACTAGGACAGCGATCGACAACGAGGACAGCGTTGGACTCAGTTTCAAAGTTGTGGTCATAGATTCCTATTCACGTACACAACATTGCCTGACATGAACAGTATTCTAGCAGTATGGGCGACAGCTTTCCCTGTTTGCCTGTGCTCTGTATGTCTCGGCAGTATGAAAGCTGTATCCTCTGCTGCATCATGTTGTTAAAATAGATATCGCTGTTTCATCATGTTTGTTCCGTAAATTGGAGAATTTGCTTATGCCTCTGACTCAGCAGGCGCAGGCAACGGAGATTGAATTTCAAGGTTTAGCCCGTTATGCATGATGCCAAAACCTACAAACCTTATTCAACATTAAGCTATAAAATGTCATATTACAGGTTTGATCTTTGTTTGTCCGAGTGAGAGCAGAGTGACCATCCGTGAAGAGGCTCAAGCCAGCTCAAGCGACACTTAAAGGAATTGACTTTGCGCAAATAGAGGCCTAATTGTTTTGATAAAGAGACATAACGGTGAACTTTTTAAAAATGATTGGAAAATTGATTCGCAGGCAGGAGGTGAGGGATCTGTGATGTCTTTAATTGTCCTTTGAACTGGGCGTAAAACAAGAAGAACTTCTCAAGTAGCAACGCTTTTATACAAAGCAAATCATAGCCTTAATGATTAGCTTGTAGCTGGTGCGAGCGAGTTGGTACGCGAAGATGGAACCCCTTGGGACCCTGGACCGGCCAAGGCTGTGTGTCCCTGGCCGTCGAAAATCTGGCACAGCAGGCCACAGGCAAAGCTGCTTTGCTTCCCAACTAATGGACACAGGTTCATCTCATTGTTAGATGCTCTCTGAATGTCTTCTCCAAAACCCTCAACCCCGTTGAAGTCGCCCTTCCCCCCACACACGGAACGCTAGCTCCCATCTCTACTCCCTCAAAGTACATGTAGAAACTGCAGGCGTAGCTATAATGTTGAACACGGAGGGTTCTGGAAGCTTCGCCTGGCAACACCACGGCTGATGAGCCGCTGCGGACATGCGTACATGGCCAACTGTCCCGAGATTATAAGCTGAGGGATTTATTCAGAAACATTATTCAGAAACATTAGATTTGCTTCATTATCGCTTGCTTGAAGTTCCACAAGCCTTTGGTGCCTAGTCGAACCCTAACACTTCCCAGCAGCTGTGCGCGAGGGAATGGCTAGTTGCTTGTGTAGAATGGTGTTCAATATCAGATCGTTTGTTATTGTTGTCAAGGTCTACAAAAACAACGAGTGATGGCCTCAAAGCGTGCCTCTATTCCTTCGTCCCGACTCATCGGTTGCCTTGAAGGTTAATAGATGTGAGCAGTGCGATACGCACTTCAAGTAGGTTTTTCATAGACAAACACTTATTTAATCTAAGATAAAAATGTAAGATTTCAAAAAGTTGCAGCTTCTGGACTGAAGCTGATCTGTAGTACGGCTCGGCCTCGGTCGAGGCTTCCAATAGGAGGACTTGCGATATTACGGAGGCAGAAACAATCAGGAGCTAAGATGAAAATAGGTATTAAGACTTTGTATATTATTCTGGGAAATATGGCTCAGTAGCCAGAACTAGCTACGCGCTTCTTGTTGGCCGCTGCAGGATCGGGGCCCATAAACAAGCCCCCACGCGAAGAAGCCGAACACCTTCAAGCTTGAAGTGAGTTGGGTAATGTCTCAGGGCAAAGTGCTGCAGGGCTGCAAGATGGTTGTGCCTGTGTAACGCTCTACTGTTGTTTGCTTGTTGAGCTTAAGGGGCTTTCTGAAAGTTTCTTCAGTTTTCATTTCTTCAGAGAAAATATACATCTTGAAACTCACTTCTATCCTCCGCATTTTGCGTCCGGCGCGCATCTGGACGTGAAACGACCAAGTGCAGGTTAAGGCGGGTCGAGGCGGGTCGCCATCACGCGAACTCCTTCATCCAAGTCATTGCCGGGACCAGAGTATAGCACCTGTGGCAATGATGATGTCCACCACCACCTGGCACGGGCCAGTTGCGCCGCCACTCGAGGCTGCCCCGGTAACAACGAAGACACGACCAGCAGCTTCTGCCTGCTGCCACACCTACTGTGCCTGCGTGCGTTTCACATATGCGGCTCGCTCGCTGCAACGCTTGCTCGCATCACCATCGCTCGCCATCGCTGTGTTGCTCTCACCCGCATAAACGTGATACCGGTACCTGTTAAGCTGACCTGCTATAACCTAACCGTAGTTCTCGGTCCTCCATTATTAACCGCGGCGTTGCACGTGCTACCCAATAATGTATGATATGAATGCCGCGAGGGCAATCAGCTCACCTACCTATTCAGTCGCCATTGTCGCATCTACCATGAACTCATTTCCCGGCCTGCCGTGGCCCCGCTACACGCAGGTACCGGCGTCATCACGCACAGATCCTTTTCCCGCTGTCATGCCAGCACCTTCCGGATCCGCCTGGCTCCTGACACCAGTCGCCGCACCCACGGCTTGGGTGGCACCCGACGGAGGGCTCCTGTGGACGGAGCCGCCCATGGTGCCTGTGCTGTCCCAACTGGTGGCCACGCCAGCGGGACCTGTCTGGGTGCCAATCACCCATCCCCCGGTCCAGCCACGGCCCGTGTGGGGCTCGCCAGGATCGACAACCGGAGCAGGAACGGCTTCGGCAAGGCCCAGCCCTACGTCCCGCGCTGGTCAGCCCTTCTGCAGGGCTTCCGGGGGTCGCACTACGGGGCGCAGTGCTGCCCATTCCGGCCGTAACCAGCCGCAAAGCCGACGGAGGTCCCGCCAGCCACAGGGCCCGTTTGCGTCGTACGAGCTGCAGGGCCCGAGCGTGCCGTACGAGCTGCAGGGCCCACAGGTGCCGTACGAGTCGCAGGGCCCAAGCGTGCCGTACGAGCCGCTGGGCCCAAGCGTGCCGTACGAGCTGCAGGGCTCACAGGTGCCGTACGAGCTGCAGGGCCCAAGCGCGCCGTACGAGATGCAGGGCCCTACAAGCCGTAGGGTCCATCCGTAGTACAGTAGAGTTTCCTTTGCTGGACTCTGACGTGGCTTTTCAAGAGTCGGTCATTTGCTGTGAAAAACGAATTGTACCTTCACTGATTGCAACTCTCCCTTCAATAGCCACGGTGTTGGTCATATGTTATTTATTGTCCAGGAGATTTAGTGTAAAAATATACATTCGGTTTCTTATAGGAGTTTTCTTTCCTTTGAGGGTACGTATCAGATCTGCGGTTCTCCCACGTGCTACGGTTTTCGTTGATCGCAGTTACCGCGTCATCTGAATTCAATGTTTGCAAGCGGTGTGAGTGGCAGAGGGGCGGTGGGCGGGGATTTAGAAGTTCGTTTTAGCATATTTTAGCATGGCGCTGCAGTTGTGTGTCTTGGCTCGGCTTGGCCCATGATATGTAAGAACCGTGTCCGATACTCCGCTTTCATTTTCAAAAGTCAGGGTCAAACACTTCACGAAGGAACCATTGCACACCAAGCGACGTTGCCAGGTGCAGGCCGAGGCACAGGCTTGGGGATCATATCCACTCCAAGATTTCATGTCGTATGGACAGCTATGCAGGCAACGGTAACCGTAGCAAGAACTGAAGTCAGGCCAACAGCAATTAATTCCATGCAAGCATTTTACCCCTTGATAGCCTGGTACCGATTTCGTTCAGGGAATCGGAGAGGCTCACGACTAAGTCTACTTCGTGTTTTCTGTCGCTTCGAGGACGATGCTTGTGTACAGCAGGGGAGTATGTTAGGTATGCAAGTTAGTTGTTAATTAGTTAGCGCGCCTTGATGAAGCGCGCCCAGAGATATTACGACATTTGGCGCCATTTCGGAATCTGGTCGCTATATAAGACGATATTGTTATTTAGTTTGTTATGTCAACTTTATTACGCTCTTGTTGTGTGCTAGCTGGTGTGCTAGTCCATTCCATTTCACGCTCGCGGAGACCAGGACGCGAGTTATACAAGACTTATTGACGATTACACCAAAGCTACATTAAGGGGAAGTACTTGCAAAGTCAGTACTCGCGTGTGGAAGTACTTAGGATTGCGGCGCTGCTTGGCCAGCAAACACGCATCACACCGTACTGTTCTCGGGCAGTCCTTGACTTTCCAGTTCAGCTTCACGACTTTGATCGCGTCTTAATTCACGGCGCCAATCACCCATCTCACATCCCACACCATCGATTCATTTATCGCATCACGGCCGTGCAGCACTGCTAATGGATCGCCACCCGACGCCAGCACCACACATGGACCACAAGAAGTCAAAGGGCAAAGAGTCCGTCGACCGTGCTGTAACGTGTTGCATCCCCTGGGGGTACGGTCCCATATCCCATATCAGACGCCCGCCCACGCCACCGACAGCGCTCAGATGCCCTCCTCAGATGCCCTCCTCCTCCTCCACCTCCCGATCATCCACCATGCCAGTTAACGCGTCGAGCCTGAAGGGCTGCTCGTCATGGTAGAAGTTAACCTGTGGATAGTCGACATTGGGAGCGAGGAAGTTGGCGTTAGTGAGGCAGTGGCACACCACCAGGTGGATGTACTGCTCGAAGGTGTCATGCTTACCGTGCTCCCTATGGTAGATGGCGTACTCCAGAACTGAGCGACGATATTTCCGGATGATTTCCTCTGCGCAAACGAAGACTTCCATAGTAGCGTACTTGATGATGTTGAGAATCTGTTCCTGGCTGCGGCGAATTGTGGTAACCTCCCCACCGTCCTCAACCTCAACTGTTGTTGTCCCAAAGTCACTGCGCGAACTGAACTTTGCCGAGACAAGGTTGGCAAAGAAGTTAAAGGAGCTTGACGCGCTCTGAACCGTATCGCGTGTCTTTGCCCACTTCTTCCTGCAGTGCTGTCCAAGGGTCACTTCTACACGCCTATTTTGGGCGCGAACACTCAGGTGGAATTCAGTGAACTTGTACACCCGCCCTGACACGTAAATTTTGCCAAGACCTCGAATTGGTTCTTGATACTGAATTCCACCTTAGTGTTCGCGCCCAAAATAGGCGTGTAGAAGTGACCCTTGGACAGCACTGCAGGAAGAAGTGGGCAAAGACACGCGATATGGTTCAGAGCGCGTCAAGCTCCTTTAACTTCTTTGCCAACCTTGTCTCGGACAAGTTCAGTTCGCGCAGTGACTTTGGGATAACAACAGTTGAGGTTGAGGACGGTGGGGAGGTTACCACAATTCGCCGCAGCCAGGAACAGATTCTCAACATCATCAAGTACGCTACCATGGAAGTCCTCGTTTGTGCAGAGGAAATCATCCGGAAATATCGTCGCTCAGTTCTGGAGTACGCCATCTACCATAGGGAGCACGGCAAGCACGACACCTTCAAGCAGTACATCCACCTGGTGGCGTGCCACTGCCTCACTCACACCAACTTCCTCGCTCCCAATGTCGACTATCCACAAGTTAGCTTCTACCACGACGAGCAGCCCTTCAGGCTCGACGCGTTAACTGGCATCGTGGATGATCGGGAGGTGGAGGAGGAGGGCATCTGAGGAGGGCATCTGAGCGCTGTCGGTGGCGTGGGACCAAATGAATGTATGGGAGATGTCGATGACAACACGTTAGACCCTACCGCCGGCGGGTATGATATGTAACACAGGATTGGTTCAAGGCATACTGATTCCCATAGTCCACTATTGCTGTTCCCAGATATTTCGAACACGAGTTTTTGTGGCATTGGGGGGCATGGGCGGCAGTGGTGATGGAGCTTGGGGCGGGAGTGGTGGCAGCCATTTGGGTGGCAGCGGCATGCAGGGTGCAGCTCATCCTACACCGGCCCTAATGCGGTGGGAGTGGTGTCGGGGGCGTGGGCGGGCGTCTGATATGGGATATGGGACCGCACTCCCAGGGGGTGCAACATGTTACAGCACAGCCGACGGACTCTTTGCCCTTTGACTTCTTGTGGCCCATGTGTGGTGCTGGCATCGGGTGGCTATTCATTAGCAGTGCTGCACGGCCGTGATGTGATAAATGAATCAATGGTGTGGGATGTGAGAAGGGCGGATGGCGCCGTGGATCAAGACACGATCATAGTCGTGAAGCTGGACTGGAAAGTCAAGGACTGCCCAAGAACAGTACAGCGTGGTGTGTGTATGCTGGCCAAGCAGCGCCGCAGACCGTTTGCCATCCGGCTTTCAGGTGGTGGCGGCAGGGAGCAGCTATCAGGACATGGTGGCCGTGTGGATTGAACAGCGATGGTGGGGAGCAGTGTTGGGGGTATGACTGCCTCGTCGGACGGAGAGGTGGTGTGGTCATGCGGTTTCACAAGGCAATCATGTGGAGAGGGTGTCTGTTTCATTTGCTGGGCCGAGAGGCAAGACGCGGTGATGGTGGTGTGTGGGTGGCATCAGTAGACTAAAAAACCAACTATCTAATAATGCACGCTGCCGAAATGATTGCAGGCAGTACGAGCACTAGCTCTCTGTATGGATGGTGCGGCTGATGTGATTGCAGGGAAATGGCGGCGGCGGTCCATGGGGTTTAGGGGAAGAAGGTTTGCGGATATGGAGTTCATATCGACAAACCCCGATCAGGGGTGCTATCTTCTTGCGGAATTTGGTAGATGCAGGCGGGATGCAAATTAGTTAGCTCCAGCTGCGTCTACCAAATTCCGCAAGAAGATAGCAACCCTGTGATGCTTACATCGGGTCTGTGCTGTAAGTCTGCGCTGTGAGTCTGTGCTGTAAGTCTGCACTGTAAGTCTATGCTGTCCTGCCTGGCCCCCCGCCCCACTCCGCCCATGCCTCGGTTCTTCTATGCCAGGCAGTTCGGAGGGCAGTCGCTAATATCCAAGGTCATGAGGAACACATGAGCACCGAAGTAGCCTGCAAGCCCTGGTGCCTCCATCCATGGCACTCATACCACATGGCAGTGTCGCTTTTTTTGGCCCATAGGTGCAGCTTTGGGATGGAGAGCCTGTACACCAAGGTGTGTGCGGCAGCGATGAGGTGATACCTGCTGGCCGGGGAACTCCGGTATCACCATCAAGCTCGCCAGCCAGTTGTCTAAATCCGGCCGGACCGTTGGCATGTCCTTAAGCTGCAAGGTTGTAGTGCTGACGAACTTGCCGGCTAGTGTGTGTGCAGCCAAGACCACAGGAGCCTTGTCGGTTTGCATTTACACCAAGTTGCTCATGCAACAAGATCAACTCGTTCCATTCATCCACACACACATGCCAAACCTCTCCTGCTGCATCTACCGTTGGGGAAATTCATGGTACACGCTACAAACCGCCAGGCAAGGTCATCTGGTACCAACACACTGCTGCTGCAAATCTTGGACCCAGCTCTGTGGGACGGTGACATGTCTGTGGACCTGCCTCCACACATGGACTGGCAGAACAACCTGGGGGCCGGAGAGGTGGATGGGGGGCGGTGCAGGGCCTGGTGAGGGCGGGCGGCCGCGCTTCTTGGCGCCATTCGGCTTGGGGTGCCACACGCACGTCCAGATGAACTTGGTGTACCTGGTAGGTACCGGTGGCACACCGCTCAGGAGGCGCCTGTCCTTCAAACAAAACAAGTTGTATTCTAACACCTGACACACATAAAGTAAGCAAGTGTACATGGGGCGGTGGTTATATCGCCGACAAAGATACAAACATTACAAAGCACATCATTGCGGGTGCACGAACATGCAGACATGGACTTCAGGTGCCCAGTCAGTTCTTGCCACCCACCACCTGGTTGCCCTTCGCCACTATCACGCAGCTTATTTCTACGGACTTTTAATACCACGCCTTTAATAAACATCTACTGAAAACGTCAACCTACGTCTACAGCTTCAGTGGAAAATCTGAACACGCCGCTGCTTATTCTCATGTTTTGAATTGAATTGTTACAGAGAGGGAGGCTCATGGGCCACTTGAACACATTGTCATTTCTACGATTTATCGCACCATACAGCACCATCAACTATTACCACACTGTACTACGCCCGGGCACAGGTATCAGGAGGGCGGCCCCCTCACCGGCCCGACTGCCCAGCTGCCGCCGGCACACGAACCTACCGACAGAGGGGTGGAAACAAAGTGAGACGGCTTCATGACCTGACCATCACCTGACCATCGATTTGGAGCTCCCTTTCACACACACCCTTGGGGACCCCACACCCCTTGCCCCGCACCTGTCCATGTGGTGTGTCCGGGAGGACGACACATCCATTTCGTCCAGGTACCAGGTGCCGCCCTCAACACCCACCAACACGCCAGCAAGGGGACCCAGCGCAGCAGCAGCAGCAGCAGCAGGCGAAGGAGGCTGCACAGCAGTGCATGCAAAATGTACAGCAACGGTGCGGGTGTTGCAACTCTAATGGCCGGCAGCTAACGGCCGGCCGGTGGATTCTCGGCGGCTGCATCTGCTCGATGCGGTACGGCAGCATCTCGGTGAGCTGTACGATAACATTGCTAACATAGTGCTACAGGAGGCCAGCGGGTTGGAGCGGGAGGTAGCATTTGTGCAGGAATTAGACAAGTTCGTCCGCAGTGAGATGCCTATGTGTGGCTGTGTGCCGCTTGCAACTGCCTCCACAGCCGGAGCCAGGTGCAGTGGGCTAGTATGTATGTTGTTACACGATGGTTAACTTCGCCTGCGGCCCCCTTTCCCGGGGCAGTCCCTGCTCTCCCCTGCTAGAGGGGCACCCTAATCCGTCACCCCATCCGACTTCAGAATGTATTCGTTGGGTTTGGCAACTCACCACCAGCATCCAACCAAATCTAGCGGATCAACGGTGCATCAGTATGTCTAGAGGGTAGGACAAACTGTCGGGCAGAGCAATTCTTTTGACTGCCCCGGTCGCACAATTCCCGTGCTTCCCTAATTCGACACCCTGAACACGCTAATTCTGACTGTCCGAATGTCCCTGCCAGGCCAATTCGACACCCTGTCAGCCTAATTCTGAATGTCGGAATGTCCCGCCAGGCTAATTCGTATCCCTGTCAGGCTAATCCTGACTGTCGGAATGTCCCTGCCAGGCCAATTCATATCCCTGTCAGGCCAATTCAAGAGCCTGTCCCGGCAATTCAACTTGTCCCAGGTGCCAATTTAAACCCTTCTACCGAGCAATTTAGACCAATTGCAGGGTCTGCCCCCAAACTCTCAGGCACGCATTCAGAATCGCGGGAGTTGAAGGAACTTTACAAAACAAGGGGAGCACTTACAAATATCTCTCGTGTGTTTGTTGGTTTCAAATCCGTACATGCTTGTACGGNGTAACAAGGCGTGTG